AATCCAATGGCAGCGATGGAGGATGGCCTAGATGCGTATAGGAATGAGGTGACTGATCTTTTTGATGCTGGTGTGCTGGACATTGATAATATGCTATCGAATTGGTACGACGCTATCATGAGTTAGGATGATATAACCTATTCGATAAAAGTATCTAGTTCTCTTGAGTCTGGATTGCTCCAATCACAATGGGATGGACAATCTTGCCATCAGTCCTCTAGCATGTAGCCCTTAGAGTGATGTTAACTTATGCCCTGCCCCCACTTCACCACACAAATCTGGCCGGTCGAAGATGTGGTTTCTGTGACTAATGGATTAATTGTTGACCATAACACCACATGTGGCTACTCTCCAAGATACAGTCCCTCTTCATGAATCGCCATCTAGAACACTGGTTGCGTGACTCGGAAGCTCCCGAGACCTCGGTGTCGTCCGCCTCGCCTCCTGATAGGAGGCCCCGCCTTCGGGGCACACCGAAGAGCATCCCTCACACAGATCAGTTTTGTGACCAATTAATTTCTGGGGTAAAGGATCTTCAAGTTCTGATAAGAACTCATCTGCATATACAAAGCTAAGCCCAGCTTACAGAATGATTCGGTGTGATTAGTTATCTTTCAACATATACTGACCAAGAATATCTGTACCAGCAACACATCTTTCAACATGGGACAGAGCAACGGCTCAGGTGCGACACATGACAGTGTCTTTAACGCGAAGAATGAATCCATTCTAGTACGTACACGTCTAGCAAGGGGGTGAGAGAAAATCCCAGGCTTACGAATCATTTTTCTAGGTTGGGATGCGCGATGGCGTGACCGGTGAATTCAAGCTCGTTCCTCGGGAGCAGGCCACCATCTCCGTTTTTGATTCCAATTTTCTCGTTGGAGATGGAATATGGGTATGTCAACTCAACATTCCCCCCTTTCTTCATCCCGCAACATCCTTATGATTGCAATATTGGCACTGACATGGCCGGAAACAGGAGGGTATTCGTGCCAATAAGGGCCGAGTCCAATTTGCCTACGAGCACATTAACCGTCTATTCCAATCGGCAAAGGCCATGCACATGGATATGGGACTAAGTAAAGGAGACTTGCTCGATCTGCTCCACAAAACCATTGACGCAAATGACATGACCGATGAGGCCCATGTCCACATTCGGCTTGTTGTGAGCAGAGGTCTTAAGTCAACACCATACCAAAACCCCAGTGTGAACGTCGGTGTCCCCCTAATTGTCATGATTCCCGAGGTGAAAGCAGTCTCCTCAGAGTCCAAGACTCGAGGTCTTCGACTCGCCACAACTTGGGTTCGCCGCGGACCTCCTGACGTCAAGGATGAGCAGTGGAACCACATCTCCAAGGCCACTGATGTACAGGCTTGTATCAGTGCCAATGTAATGGGTGTTGACGAGGCACTTATGTTGGACCAGCGCGGTTTCGTCAAAACCTGCAACTCAACCAACTTTTTCATTGTCCGAGGCTCCGAGGTCTGGGCTCCCACAAAGGATAACCAGATGCAAGGCATCACAAGGCAGAAGGTTATTGACGTTTGCCGGGCCGCAGGCATCGTGGTCCGTGAGCTCGATTTCTCCTTAACAGAGGTGTATGGAGCGGATGAGGCATTTTGCACTGGGACATTCCCCAGCCAGATTCATGTTATTGAGGTTGATGGCCGGCAGATTGGTGACGGCAAACGTGGAGCAGTTACCGAGATGATTCAGCAACTTTACATTGCGCATGTTAAAAGCGATGTGAGTAGGTCGAGGGAAGAAATCATGGCCTCGCTTACCAGGCCTCGAGACTTAACCTTTCTGGACAAGGTGCATGTTCCCAATGGAGTTACCAATGGAGTTCTCAAGGGAGTTGCCATTGGCGCTACCAATGGTGTAGACCAGAGCTTGTAAAGTGACCAGTTCATTAATTAATATACAATTGATATAAATTGCTATCAAAAACTAAATTTGGGCAATCACTTTTAGGATACTGCTTTATGTGTAGGTTCCCCAGCTTCCTCAGTTAAGGATAGAAGATTACTAGGTATATCAGGATATTTAAACCCTATTTTGGAGTTATATGATGTTCGTAGCTTCTTTTATTCAAAATATTTATAAAAACTTAGTCATATAAAGCAACCAAAAGAAGAAGCTACTTGATCTTACTTAGAATTTATTGTTATTCCAGAGGAGTACATACACATCATCAAGCTGCTCTCGCTCGCCCATCTATCACGTAGTTTGCCTTACACTAATAGAATCATTGCAAAAACATCTAATGGGTCAAGAAATACAACAATAGGTCAAGTGTCAATTAATTAAATAAGAAACAATTGGCGACACATATTTCCCCCCTTCAGACGCCCGGTGCATCTTGGACTCACTCTTCCTGCTTTCTTGCTGACTTCAAAAATACCTCAATACGAGTAGCGGAAATGATGATTCTCCCCGTCAGTTAGATCCTCAAGGTCGACCTCAAGGCCCACTGCAACTGATGATTCAACCGGCTTTCCATATTCCCTGTCCCGACGTTTATTCTCGATAAAACAGCAAGCACTAGTGAAGAAAACAGGTTAGTTATATATGTGCTGGCGAAAGATTGCCAGAAAGAGTGGCTCACAAGTAGATCATCCCCATCACAGCATTGACAGAGAAGGCTGTCATCATTGCATTAATTCCCAGAGGGTAGTATGGAGCTTGATCAGTCCTAAAAAATTGAGGTCCGAAGATATTTCCAACGGCTGCCAGCATCATTAGCATTGGGCTCGCAGCTTTCCCTTAAAATAGTTGTCACTTACAGTACCAAATGGCAACAGACACAGACGCGAATGATTTCTTTGTGGTCCCCGAATTGTTGGAGGACTGAAGGCTGAGCATGGTAACAAAGGAGACGTTGTAAAAGCCCATGAGGTAAACACCAGTAAGGGACGCAGCACGCTCCGTCTTGATATCCAACACTGCAAGAAGGAATTAGCTTCAATGATCTGAATGTTGAGGATAAATGACTCACAGTGAATCATGACAGTCCCGGCAATAGCTGGAAGTGTTGAAAGAACCCAAATAATGCAGCGCACGTTTGGTACATAGAGCATGATGACAGTTGCGGTGACCTGTGCGACAATTGCGACTGCGGCTTGTGGCGAAGCCATGAGCACAGTTTTTGTCCTAGAAAACCCATATCCAGATATAATGAGAGGATTGAAGTTGGTAATGCCGGCGTTTGTAACCGCAAAAGCCATGACGCCAATGGAGAGAGCCCAATATTTGGGATCCTTTAGGGCTTCATAAACCTGTCCCATTTTCCATGTCTGTCGTATGATCCATTAGTGTGAATTCATTGAGGCGTACACCAAGAAGATCAAGTCTTGGCACTGACCTTGTTGGAGCTGACGCCGGTTTGATTCTCAGCAGTTCGGATGACGACGAGTTTCTTCTGCTCTGCAGTAAAGAACCAAGCAGTCTGAGGACTGTCTGGAAGAATGGCCAACACTACGAAGCCAAAGACCAGAGTGACTGAGCCATAAATGATAAACAAATACTGTGGTTTCTGTTCAGTGCTTGTGCAGAAAAAGCTTTTGTTGAACGAAGCAACAACATACCTTCCATGGCGACAGGCCTCCTTGAATCTGACCAATGGCATATGCGAGAATGCCTCCAAATATCTTGGCTCTGGTTAATAATTAATCCAGTGATTGTATTAGTTTTGGTGACTCACCCCGGCGAAAGTATTGAAGTAAAGGGCCGAAACCAAGGCATGCTCTTCTCGGCGGTACCAGATAGATGTGAGCAAGATACAGCATGGCAACAAAGCTGCCTCGAAGACACCGAGGAAGAATCTTGCCACAGCCAATGTCGCAAAGCTCTTACACCCAGCCATAGCCGTAATGGTGATTCCCCAGAGGACGAGGATCGTGCCGATGAATTTGCCGATGCGTACCCTGGTCAGAAGCCATAGAGCAGGTATCTCCATGGCGATGTATCCAAAGTAGAAAATGGACCCAAGCCAGCTGTAATCCTGGTTAACAAGACCGACTTCCTGAGACATTCCATAGACTGCGGCAAAGCTCATCGCATTCTACGTATCATTCTTATGTCAGTGGTTAATAGACTTGCGAGGTAATGGTATTACTTACCTTGTCTAGAAAGGCGAGCAGAGACGCCAATACCATCACGACCAGAATCACAGAGTTGGTCTTGATCAACAGTTTCCGATTCTGAGTAGGCGTCAAGACCTGCTCGGATATATCCCGCTCCTCTCCAGCCTCGGCCATTGAGGAGTTGGAGGGTCGAGCCTCGGTCAACCCAGGTTTTGTTTCGGTTGGATCGCTCATGGTACTGAAATAGTATGGTGTGCAGTTGAATTTGGGATGTGAGTAGTTGCGGAAGAATTAGAGTGCCGTTGGGTAAGGGATGGTTTAAATGAAGATGCAATCTTTAGCCATAGGCCAAGATTGCGTGATAGCCACCGAACCTTCCTGGTCCTAGTCTATCTGGCCCATGTCACTGGACAATCTGATATCATCAGATAGCGGAGGCCATTGTGCAAGGGCTTTACGCTACTCAGCAGCAGTTGAGCAAGCCAGTATCCGGGGATTGTGAACGCAGAGTTTAACAAACAAGACAAGGATGCGAGTGGGTTCTCGGCGTGCTCCATTCAGGCTAGAGCTGGAGGATGGCGCCTTCGGGGGTGACCGAATGGGATACTCGGGAGACACCGACCTTATCTCTCATCAGCCCAGTTTAGGTAGCGGAGGTTTATTACAATAGCCTGTCGTTAACTCACGCGACTGGTGGGGATTGAGTCAGTTTTGACCCCGGACATTTGATCTCAATGCTTTTCCTTTATCTACGGGCAAAAGATGTCTTGTGACATGTTACCTAGGTACTCATAAATGTCTGTTCAAAGGATTCAAGGTGCATCTAACTCCCTTCATGTCAAGAGTCTTTTCTTAAAATTATATCTCGAATATCGTACATCACCAAGTTTCATATACGTCGGAAACCCAAAATGGCTATCACAGAACCAGCAACCCAGTCTGAGCCTATCGATGCTGTAAGGCCAATTAAGGTAATATGTATTGGGGCTGGCATGTCCGGTATCATATGTGGTGTCCGGTTTCCACAAAGAATAGAAAATCTTGACTTGACTATTTATGAGAAGAATGACGATGTGGGAGGTGTTTGGTACGAGAACAGGTGAGTTGCTTCATATCAGCAAGCGGGCTTTTATAAACTAACTAGCTAACTAAATAGATACCCAGGAGTTACTTGCGGTGAGACAAGTCTCTATCTTGACAGCTGACTTCGGATGGTAGCTGACTGGCCTCTGTCTTTATCTTCAAGACGTCCCATCTCATGCTTTTCAATTCACGTTTGCTAGCAACACCAACTGGTCTTCGTTCTTTGCACCAGGACAAGAAATTTCCAAATACTTCCGCACGGTTGCTGAGAAGTATGACGTGCTTAAGTATGTCCGGTTCAAGCATGAGTTCAAAAAAGCTGTCTGGCTAGAAGACATCCACAAGTGGGAGGTTACTATTCTCCGAATGGAAGACAACACGGTAACAACTTTCCTACCTTATCATTTTCCTTTTCCTGCCCAACTGCTTCAGTTCACCGCCTGACTTATTACTTACTAATCACTTTAATATATAGGAGTTCAAGGACTACGCGGACGTACTCGTTAAGGCAACCGGGAACTTGAACAAGTGGAAGTGGCCTGATATTGAAGGACTTCACGACTTCAAGGGCCCAGTCATGCACTCAGCAAACTATGACACGTCTTTTGACCCTACCGACAAGAGGGTCTCTGTAATCGGCAGCGGTTCTAGCGCCGTTCAAATCGTTCCCGCAATGCTGCCTCAAGTCAAATATATGGACCATTAGGTGCGCGGCCGCGCCTGGATCTCACCGGCTGCCTTTGTTGCAGCGGATCCTCGGAAAGCTAACAGTGATGTTCACAATTGTATTCTCTACGCCTTCTCTATTCCCTATTTTCAATGTATGAATATGGTGCTGATTTGAAGCATAGTTGAGCATCCTGAGGAAGAAAGAAAAGGCTGGTCAGAGCATCCGGAAACCTACCTGCGATATAGACATCAAATTGAAGATGTCGTCAATCGTGCCCAGCTTGTTCACTGGCGAGGTTCCGCAATGAACAAATCCTTCTCTGAGGAGACAGAGGAGTCCATGATTCGTAGGTTATCGCCCAAACCTGCGGTATGGGAAGCTCTGCGACCCGAGTATCCGCCATTATGCCGGAGGGTTTCTCCGGGACCTCGATACCTTGAGTGCCTTGTGGATGATAGTCTGAACTTCATTCCAAAGGGTATCAGAAGGGTGACTGAGAATGGTATTATCGACGCAGATGGTGCCTTCCGCGAAACGGACGCTATCGTCTGCGCCACTGGCTTCGATACGTAAGTTTCCGTATTCCCCTCTTTTTCTTTTGAATAGTCTGGAAGCGTATTTAACGAGTCCGGACTACTAGATCCCTGAACATGCATGAGAATCCGATCTATGGGCAAGGTGGCATATCGATCGACGACGTGTGGCAGCCGGATCCCATAGCATACATGTCCATCCTCCCAGCCAAGATGCCGAACTTGTTCTTGTTTGTCGGTCCAAACGGTGGATCGGGCGCTGGCTCAACAATCCAAATGAGCGAATGCGTAGCTGAATATGTGACCAAGTGTATTCAAAAGCTACAAAGAGAGAACCTAAAAACAATTGTAGCCAAGTGAGTTCAACATCATGACCTGTCATCGAAAGGAAACCACTGACTTAATTCCGCTACAGGCAATCAGCTGCCGATGCTTTCAGAAAGCAGGCTGATAAATATTTCGAAAAGACTACTTTCACATACACGGTGAGTATTTCTAACCTACTTACAAATCTTCAATGGGCGACTAGTTAACGTCTTCCAGTGCAACAACTGGGCCAAGCGTCACCCCGATGGCCGTATTATTGGGTTCTGGCCAGGTTCAGCTATTCATCTACGCAAAGCGCTGGAACATCCAAGATGGGAAGACTTTGAGTACGAATCAATGGACGAAGACAGCCTCGCGTGGATGGGCAACGGTTTGGTTTTGGCCCAGCTAAGCGCCGACTCCACAACTGGATACCTCGATCTCGTGGACGTGCCAGGATCGGAGATTTACAAGGGTGTAGCCACTGAGGGAGCTCGCGTGGCAAATATCCTGGCTGAGGAGCGAGTTGTTTGCAGCGGCAAGATAGCCATATGAGAATCTCGTCTCGTATTTGAAAGGGAAGCCAAAGATTGATTTATTATAAATGTAGTAGACTAGGCAGAGGCAAGTTCGTCAGAGGCAAGGGGACAGAGTTAATGTATTTTATTAAGTTGACAGAAAATAATATGAGAATGGTTTCTTCCCTTGATGAATCAAGATGGGCAATGTGCTAAGGTCGTTGTGGTTTAAATCTAACCGATGATTCTGTGAACCAACTAATTTAAGACAAGTGAGCCTCCCTATGAGCGGCCACGCCGCATTTCCATCGAGTATAATGAAGACGAATTTCGGTGTTATCCGGGCCAGCTGATCGACTGATGACTACCTCTTGCAAGTTCATCGCCACCAGCTTTCCGGTATCAAAATGGTGCCGTGCTGAGCTGGCATCGTCGGTTCTGAACACTCTCACGGTCTGGCCCTCGACAAGTTCGACGGGGTCTTTGTTAACACCCTTGAGCTCATCTGCAAACTCCGAGCTGAAGATTGTTGCGATAGCCTCTTGGCCACGAGACTTTTTGATGGAATTGGCACGGGCTGCTGCTTTGTCTGTCTCCTGATACCTCTTCATGAATTCTACCGTGCGGGGGTATAGATCTGGCCCGAAGAACTCAATGGGTAAGGCATTTGGCATGCTCAGCAACCAGTCGATGGGAAATGCAGCTTCATCGGCAAATGGTTAGCTCAAAAATAGAATATCGGTCACTCTCTGAACTTTAACATACCGTGGATATCTACCAGACGAATATCTTCAGACCCGGACAGCCACTTGCGCCCGTCGCTTAGCAAATCCTCAAGCAGCTCGAAATGGGTCCTCATCTCGACCAAGGCTCCAGGGCGGCGCTTTGCCTGATCCTTGGCAGTGAAGCTTCGGCCTGTGAGCCCCGACCTGTCCTTCATAAACGTCTCGTTTTGGAAGACTGGCAGCTCGGGCGGCATGGTTGAGACGGCCGAGGAGAAGAGCGAAAGCTCGGCCCAATCGCGAAACAGCTTCTCGAAAGCGCGACCCTGAGCGTCGGTTGCGCCCAGCGCCTTTTCTGGAATCATCTGCTCCAGCTTCTCCAGCATCAGGCGCGTGTCAAAGTAGAGATCCCTTCCTATGGCCAGGACGGGGATACGTCGATAGTTGATGCCCAGACCCTCCAAATCAGGGCGCGGCATCACTGGTGGCTGTCGGCATTCTGTATATTTAATGCCTCGAACGTTGAGGTAAGACGCCACCTTGTTGCCCCAGGGAGATCCTGGATAGGTGAAAAGTACAATCTCTGGGATAGAGCCGCCCATTGTAATTGATGGTTGATGGAGGAAGTGTCGGGTTTTCGTTTGGAAGGCTGTGTTTTACTGGTCGTCGGTTGTTTTATGACGACTTGGTTGATCTACATACTCAATTGAGCCTCGGCATCTCTTCTCCATTTCTCCACTCAGTTGCTTCTGATGGAGACTCCAGATTCACTGGCATTCGGCAATTGCCATTGGGTCGGCAATATTCCAGCCTGATACGCAGGTCCGTGCTTCTTTTTAGGACTCATTTTGACCCTCTTTTTCAAGACTCCTTCGTAAATCTCTTCCTCTTCGGTGCAATCATCGACATCATCAACCTGAGGGCTACCTTAGATTATACTTACCCTAGAGAGTCACTAATTGGCGAGACTTTTCTCTCTCCAATCGACGCAGCTGCGGCATTCACATCGGTTTTCACCTTGAAAAATATACATATTGAGATATTATCATTGTGCTAAACGGAGGGACCTGAAGGGTTATGACTCAACTGTCCACGAGGAAGAGCGTCCATGTTTGCAGTAGAAGGTTGAAACTCCCAACTAATGGCTCAGCCATCGGAAAAGGCAACGTCTGGTGATGCTACCCAATTGAGTTCCGGTGGAGAGGCCATAAGAATCCGAGTGAAATCTACTATAAACCCGCCAAATATTTCAAACAGCTTACAGGCACGCAGCTAGGAGACATTCTCTGTCAACGCGTCTGAGATGCAGAATGCAGGCGCTGGCCAAGAAGGCAAGTTGGGACTTTCGCATCAACCAATCAGCAGCGTAATTGGTTTAGTGGTAAAATTCTCCGTTGCCATCCGAGCAGCGTCGGGGAGCCCTGGGTTCGATTCCCAGATTACGCATTTTTGCCGTTTCAGTGCATTGCTTTTGCCATTACGTTCTTTTCTGCTTGTTTAGCTATCCTCTTCCAAATCAGGGCCTAATGTGGGTTAAATTCAGACAAATTAGGGCCGCGAGCATTTGTTCTTTGGCCTTTTGGCCATCCGGCATAACAGGTTGCTCAACCTTCATTCTTATAACAACCAATTGAATAGCTGCTATTAGTGACAGGGAATGATATCTTCTATGGCCGGTGTTGTGATGTGTATGACCTGCAAAAACTTAACAGGATCCGGAATGAGTACTCCAATCACCTCCCTCGCGGAAGTACACCTCGTATCTGATCCGTGAGTAACTACGACGGAACGAATCGCGTGGATACGAACCATCATACCATTTGAAGATAAGGCCGCGGCCCTCAGCCTGCTTCTCCATATATGTGCACACTTCTTGATGATATTGATCAGAGCCCTCCGCCATCGTATGCGCCTCCCTCTTCCGCTTTCTCCGCTTGCTGCTTTTCTCCTTGCTGCCCCTGTCGATATCCTCGTCTGGGTCCTTGATCATTTCCAGCTGCTTGAGAAACTCTTCACAGGCAGCATGGGCTGCAACGACAGGATTATCTTCGGAAAAGTGAAGCTGGGCTGCGCCAGGGTCCTCTGGGGCCTCCCTCTTGGGGAAGGTGTCGTCAACCCAATCCAAATGGTCGCGTAACTCCTTTACTTCGTCCTGGGCGGCGGTGACATATTTTTGAAGCTCCTGGCGCACTTTGCTAAAATTCCGGAACACCGTCTTCTCTACCCGTTTGCTCTGCGCTGTCGGCTCCAAATAGCGGAGGAAGTCGTCGACGGCAGCCTTGGCTCCAGACACCGTGTCCGCACGCACATTTTGCAGGTGCAACAAATGGAGGTTGCGGCTGGCACCTTCAACCATGAGAACAACATCTGTGTCATGCATGCGGAAATCGTGTTCCTGCGGACCGGAACCATTGTAGGCCAGTTCTTGGGTCAGGCTCGCAAAGGGACCTGTGTCGTCATGGCGGGGGTGTTCGGCTGCCATAGCGTGAGCTGAGCGGTAGAAAAACAGATACCGGTCCTGGCAAGTTGTGGTCCTCCGGATTCTAGCAGAAAGACTCTAATTACTCTGCCGCAATCTTGGTGTAGTTGTATCTGGACTCAAAATCTCGAGGGGTTGCTTCACGGAAGTTCACGAGTTATCAGGCATACGTTTGGCACAGAAGAGACCCACAAATGCTGCCTATTGCTCAGCCTCCGACTCTGACCGCAGCAAACCCATGTTATGGTGAGAATTGCCACGTTAGGGCTATGGATCTACGCCAGAATCATATTTAGAGGTGGGTAACTTAGTATTACTAGATTTGTTGCCTGGGCGGTCAAATAACTCTAGAGATCAATCGTGTTTTTCGGGCAAGGATGGTTAGGCTGACCTCATCTTTATTGGCGGAATGCTGGCTTACTCCTATAATCGAACGTGTTTAGCATTCATCAGCCTGTCTAATATAAATTGCTTACTGTACGGCATAAACGAGGGTTGAGCTTACAACAACGATGCTCATCCACCTTGTCTACCTTATCCGGCCTGTTGAATTACTAGAAGGCTTTTCAGTATGTCTTTGGCATGAATCTTTGTCGTTAAACAACGTATCAAAAGGCTTTAGGCAGCATAGCCAATTTCTTTCTATTTATCGCCTTGGACTGAATCACAGAAGCCCCCCCCTTTTTTCAGATACTATAGGGTTTTGCAAGAAGATTATGAATGCCGGTTCATAAACATTCTTGCAGTGCAACTCCGCAGTATGCGTACTTGCCAACAGCCGAGACTCGACAGTAAACATCCTGGGGGGGCTATGGGATCATGTAGCACTACTTCCACCCTGTTCGGTCAGAATCTGAAACTACGGAGCGAACAGGCTTAGGAATAGTCTGGAATTGTGAACGGAGCATTGCGGACCTCCTAAAGGGGGTTGCCACCGCATAGGGTCGTAGACGAAACTTGTGCCTATGCGTTGACTGATGGCCTCAGAAAATGGTCCATAGATTAGGTCGATTGGGCTTAGTCTTCTTTATGCACGCTTTGCACTGGTATCCTGACCCGAAGCTTCCCTTCGTAAATGATCCTATACGTCATAAAAAGAGGGGAAGTTCAAGAGTAGGGACGAAGAGGCCAACCCCGAGACATATGACCTTGCGAAATGGAAAGGGCACTACATATGTATGCAAGTGGAAGGTCACATGCCACCTAACTGCCACTTGGCATGCTTGAAATTGACTAGTCGACTTGAGATAACACGGCATATGTCAACCCGTATCGTCTCGGCCTTCCCCAGGAAGTACGGGTTGTGGAGATCAACAAATGGTGACTCCACGTCCCGGGAGTTGGCTTGCCGAGAGGATTAATTGACTCAAGTAAATGTTGCAACCATGCTACACAGAGTTGCAATGCGAACAGACATGCATGAATGGATTGGCCGTGACAGCCGGTTTTTCGACCAAATCAAGCAATTCGAGATGAATATCCCGCGGCTCCGCGGAATCACCGCGGGGAGTTCAAGCTGGGGAACCCGGCACGAGCGATAGGTTGTAGAAATTAGTGATTGCAAAACCTCTGTGTGTGATTTGCTACTGAGTGAAACAAGACCCAGTATTAAAAAGAATAAATGAGAGCCCGTGCTAAGACTTCTAGACCCGGAGAGAAATTTTATCAGATAGCTCGTTTTGCTTTACTGGATATTTACACTTGTACTAAGAAGACCGCCGCCAATATGGCTCTCCTCCATCAACCTGACAAGCTTATGGCTGCAGGCTCTGTAGCCGTAGTCATATCTATAGTTATACTATCCGTGAGTTAATTCATTTTCTACACCGTGGCCTAAGAATACAGAAAATAATGCACGTGATGTTGGCGAGTCCTCTGACGCATCGTCTATAGATTGGACTCTACAGTCTCGGCTCTGCTATTTACCTGGTTTCTTTCCACCCGTTGTCCAAGGTCCCAGGTCCAAAAATATATGCGATATCCCAGATGCCGTATCTTTATCACCTTGTTCGAGGAGACTGGACCGCTGTTCTCAAAGATTTCCACGACCACTATGGCCCGGTCGTAAGGTTTTCACCCAATGACGTCTCCTTCACTACCGGCGATGCATTAAAGAAGATTTACGGGCACAAAACAGTCGAGAGCGACACTTTTGAAAAGGACCTTCGCATGTATCGTCAGAATCGCCCCGTTCGTAGCATCATTACCTCTGACACCGAGGGTCACCGCCGCATGCGCCGACTGATTGCCCACGCGTTCTCAGAGAAGGCACTCCGCAACCAACAACAGGTCCTAGATCATTACATTGAATCTTTTATACGGGGGCTTACCGAAAGGTCACGCCAAGGCGTTGAGGTTGATATAGTAGCCTGGTATAACTTTGCCACCTTTGACCTCATCGGCGACCTTGCGTTCGGCAAATCCTTCGGGTGCCTTGAGAACGGTGATTATCACCCATGGGTTCGGAAGATCTTTGACGGCGTGAAATTTATAGCCTATGGCCAGGCCATGACACGGCTCGGGCTGAAGCGGTGGGCTGCAGTACTTGCACCGCCTGCCACGCGGAAGAGCGCCGAACAGCACATGGAATTCTCTCGACGAACCGCCCTCGCCCGGATCGATAGCGGCAACACAGCACGAGAAGACTTCATGTCATATATTCTTCGCCACAACGATGATGAGAAGGGCATGTCCAAGCTTGAAATTACGGAGAACTCGGCCACACTTATCTTAGCAGGGAGTGAGACCACAGCGACACTGCTCAGCGGGGCAACATTCCTCCTCCTAAAGAACCGGGATAAGTATGAGACGCTCACACAGGAAATACGTTCCGCGTTCAAGTCAGCAGAAGATATTACACTTGGAAAAGTGAACCAACTAGAGTATTTGCTGGCTGTACTGAACGAGAGTTTGCGCATGTGTGAGTTTATCTTACATCTCAAATCGGAAGAACCAACTAAAAATTCTCGACAGATCCTCCTGTGCCTATTGGCTTGCCAAGGCTGGCTCCGGCCGCGGGCGAGTTCATGGAAGGGTATTGGATCCCGGCCAACGTAGGTCTTGCTGGCGAAGTCCCATCTCACTCCCCGTCCTCTAACACTTCCGGCACATAGACTTCAGTTTCCGTACCACATTGGTCGGCATACCGATCAGCCAGAAATTTCCGAGATCCGGATTCTTTTGTCCCAGAGCGATGGCTCAATGATCCACTCTATGCTTCCGACGCAAAATCGGTTCTTCAACCATTCTCTTACGGCCCCCGGAATTGTATTGGCAAAAAGTGAGTATTGGCCGAAAATAGACGGGAACTGACTAAGGAATAAACGAAGAACAACAAATAACTGACATTTATTGGTAGCTTGGCATATGCAGAAATGCGACTCATTCTCACACACTTGCTGTGGAAGTTTGATCTTGAATTGGACCCTGAGGGTAACGATTGGAATAATCAAAAAGTTTACATCCTCTGGGAAAAGAGCGGCTTAAAGGTGAAGCTTACGGAGGTTATTCAAGCGGAGAAAGAGTAGAGGGCTAGAGACGTCAGCCGTACTACTCACTTCTGGAACAAGGTAGCAACATAGCTGGAGACAGATACCGTCAGGTGGCCGGAGAATTCATTCACTACTATCCAAATTTTACCATTGTCGTTGGACAAGTTGGCTTTGCAATAAGCAGAGTGAATTAATTGTCAATGTCACAGGGCTAGAATAAACTCGTACGCCGATTTCTACTTGAAATAGCCGGCTTGAGGTAGTAATGAAAAAGACCTGAGCAGCAGGTTCCATGTCGGGTACCATGTCGCCCAAGCGAGCCTGCTTGCGATTACAAAGCAGTTTGAGCCTTTAGAAGAACTACATACAGAAGAATGAATGAATAAAGCTACTCCAAGATCCTTGCTCCAAATTTGAACATTTCGTTCGAAGGGATTGAATTCCTATCCCTTAGCTTCTCTGCTGTCTCGACTCCGCCCACCAGTAACCGAGATTTATAAAGTTGACTCATTACCCTGTTGGAAAGTACGTCATCAATCGTACGATTCCAAGGCATTCAGTGTCAGGGCAAGCCCCAGTTTCGCCCTCATTGGAACTCTCATGACTCTAGACATACGCCACTTCACTGTCAAGCGGACAGAGGTGGCTTCCACTAGTGCAGCTGAAATGTTGAAAGTTTAATTTTAAATCTAGTCAATCTTGGCTACGGAGCCTAGTTCGTTATTGTCCCGGAACAACAAGTTAAACTGTGTGAAGAGTGGCTGCCGTATTCGAAATAAATAATGGTGGCATTTAAACTTGCAGATATCCGATTACTGACTCAAAATACCCTACAAAATGGGGACATAGGAACACGAGGGTGTTGAATTCCAACACCAAGTCTCTGCTCTACTATGTTGGGTCTGACCCCTCACACTCCTCGGTGATGTACGGCAAAGTGCAAAGGGGGCAAAAGTGATGTTTGCGCAGGTACCACGGAACGATGCAGCTCGAATGGAACACATGACCGCAACGCAACCGGCGGACGGATTGCTTGGCCTTTAGGGGATCTAGACAAATGGCACTTGAGTGAATGTTAGCAAAGTGAATCTCACAAAGTAAATCCAGGCTACTGTACCTACCACGCGTAGTATGAGTCTGGCCAGACAGGTTGATCACCTGGTTTACGGTGCTTCGCCTCTTCCTTGACCTGGGCGAAATCCTTTGCTGGAGCTTCTCGGTCTAACCTTTCGAGAGCCGGTTTCTGCGACGCTGATGAGGCGGCTGACGACGCGCTTATTGTTGACTCAATATCATCACATTCGGTTGGACATCGGGTAATAGCGCTGTATACCGCGGATGTCAGTCTTTTGATTCAAAGGAGCCCCAGCCTCTGGGTGAGATCGGCTTACAAAAGGAAGCAAACCAGTAGCAGAAACACAATAACGCCACCGATGATAAAGACGGGCAAGATCTCTTTTGGAGTGCTATTAGAGTGATCTCTAGAATCCGAAGACGAGTTTGCGGCTGACAGGTTGTTGACGCTCAAGTCCATGGTTCGCAGGGATAGCATAGGAGTTAAATGAAGAGGAATGAGTAAGGGATAAGAATGTGAACTTATATATGCTCTATTCGTAATAGTTTTCCAGCCTTGATACTATCTTTCTAGTTCTTAAAGAAAGGAATTCCATGTCAACAATGAATTAATCAGAGGGACCAGGTCTGGACTCTCCCTTTGAATCAAGATCAGACGATTTTGCAAGCTGCCCTCCCGAGTGGCGTTGTGGCGTATCGCGTATGGCGTCAGATGCTCTGAATATTTGGACGAGGTGTGGCACGTCGCGGGCGAATGGAGCCGAGGGGTGGATACAGTGATAAACTCTATTGACGCCTCCCAACGGTTTTGCGTAGATGCCGTTGTGAACCGCAACCAAGCGCCCTGGCTAGTGATGTTGGTGGGAAAGTTACGCACGGTGGTCGGCGAGGGGCGGAAACGGCATCGCCAGATGCCGGGAGGGAGAAATATACCGGCACCGCGCACGCAAGGATCGCGAATTCTACGCCATGTCGAGAGAAATGAGGAAGCTGGTTCGACGAGGAGGCGTATTCATTTAGCCGGGTTCTGTTAAAGTCCCTACAATTACTTATTAATAAGTTAAGAGGTAGTAAGTACATGGATGAATTAAAATGAATCGAAGTATTCAAATATCAAAATTCATTAGTGGTGCAAGTATTTAAACTGATGATTATAGAGGCTGGCAAGGGAGGCTGGAGGTCATGCTTTGGGTAAGAGAGAGATCGGGTTTGAACGAGTAGTCTTCATTGATACAGAATTAACTGCCTTACGCCGCATGTTCTCTAATAAGATATGTTCTGAGGTCCCGCCAAGGTCTACTGTCCATTTTCAAAACACGACAGGAGTATATTGACTCAAGGTCCACCATAGGTATTACACTTCTCCTGATTGAGAGTCACATTATACATTCAATAGTCAAGACTGATTTTGAATTTGAGGATCAATAAATAAACCGATAATAGCCACGAACTTATCAAATACCTCACGAGAAATTATATCAACAAGCTACCAATGATAAAAATCGAGGAAACCAACAAGGTTCGGTTCTAGACCTCAATCCCCGGTGAGCAACCTCTCAACCCGTCGGATCCGGCCGACCTCTAACATGTCACTGAAGAGGAAGGCCTACTATTCCAAAAAAGAAAACAATAACCAAAAGGAGACATGCTAAAATGACATCAAACCTCATAGCTGTAAGTTTTGGCTATCCCTGAAGAGCCAACAAGGTTTGTAATTCGGCCGTTCGTGGCTTGGGGTACACAGTTGAGGGGGTGGTATGGAGCTCCCATGCTTTCCTGTCACACACATCCCTGCTAGAAATATTATCCCAAAATGGTACCAAGAAGCATACTCACTCGGTCTTGCATTGGGGGTTTCCGTGTTATCCATATTTTCGTGGAAAAAGCAAAGTATCATTGAGCGTCACCATATTAGCTCCCAGTGCCCGCAAAATCAGCTAGCATGAAGACAATGATTTGAATAATATTCCAAATGAATATCCCCGGAAAAGCATTAGAAATTAACAAAACTTCAATAGCCATACCGGTATTTATGGGGGGAAATCTTACATTCTAGCTGAGCCATTCATCCCCTTCGTAAATGATCCTCATCCGAAAGGTAGGACTTTCCTCATCTCTCGCCAGCGTTAGTTGAAAATGGAATTTTTCACAAATTGAGAGCCCAAAAAATACGAAGCGGCAGCTTCTCCAACACCAGTGAGTTCGTCACCCATTCCAGCTTAAGCGGCTGCAGATCTTAGGGACACATTCCTGGTCCCATTATCAACACGTGCCAGTTTGTCCTAAAATGGAGCTATATGCCGAGACCACAGGTTCAGTTACATCCTGAACTCTCTTGATTGCCGAAAGTTCCTGACCAGTAGTAGAACAGAATTCTCACATTCGGCCGGGTCACTGTCGCCCAGTGCTACGCTGGGCCCCGTACCCGCAAGCCATCAGTTTGAGTACTGGGATGAAGTTGAACGCGGCATGACTCAGAACAGAACTGTTGGTGGTCAGCAGGTTTATCCACCTATTGTGAGTTCGCTTGGCTTGCATACCGCTAGTTCCGATCATCCGACGCATCCCCATCGCTGATGTACGATTCTATGTTCATGCGATTTGAAAATGCATAAATAATTGACCAGACAAATCTACTACCTAGAAACATCAGTTCATGAGCACGTAGAGCCTACCTTAAGTACAAAAATCGAATCAAGACACTCAGCATGGAATTCAACCCCACCAAAGCAATCGTTCACAATGAAGACTGTGACTTGCATTACTGGTACCAGGGCAAAGGACCTCTCATCACCTTTGTTCCCGGAGGAAATGGTCATGGGCGGCAATTCAACCCTTTGATGGCCGCCCTTTCTGACAAGTACACTTGCGTCACGTTTGACCGGCGTCAGATGTCGGCAAGCAAGGTGAAGGTCAATAAGAGGCTCAACCCACCACAGCAAGCACGAGATATTCGCGCCGTTATTCAGGCCCTCGGCTTTGAGAAGTCCATTATCTTCGGCAGCAGCAGCGGGGGCATCTTCTCACTCCAATTTGCCCACGATTTCCCTGAGATGGTTGATCACTTAATCTCTCACGAAGCACCCACAGTAATGCTTCTTCCAGATGCTTCTAGCATGGTCGAGTGGTTTCTCCATCTCATGGAAGTATATGAGACAAGCGGAATAGAGCAAGCGGCCAGTGAATTCGGCGCCAAACTTATAGGATACGATGACGAAGGTATCCCCAAGGTAGCGAAGCCTGAGCCAGAGAACCCTCGGAATTTCTGGGACCATGAGTTTGCAGTTCTGCTAAGTTACGTGCCCAATCTGTGGCGTTTGGTGGAAAATAAGACCAGCGTTGGTGTGATGAGGGGAGTGCGAACCAAGGATGCCTTCTTCGCCAGGACGACCGTAGAGCAGGCAAAGATTTTGGACTGTCCGCTCCTCCTAGTGCCAGGGCACCACCAAGGGTTTGAGGCCGAGACTAAGGAATTCCTTCCATATTTCATTGAAATGCTTGATACTCTGGAAAAGAAGAGACAGGCGGCTTAGCAACCACCAAAGCCTCGTTCTTTCTAGTCCTTGGGCAGTACCTACATTACACTTACAATATGGAACCTTTCACGGTTGCTATCAACTTTAGAGTATTTCAAATCAAGGGCGGCCAATGTGAAATTGCCAAATTCTGATTCTGTATTGGAGCTAGAAATTGAGTATTTATGTATCCTCATTCTTTGCGCTCTCCAGTGCCATTTACTCGGGGATAACATGGTCTTTGGCAGCAACACCTGCAGCCCAATGATACTTGGCCGCAGTATGATCCGGAGGCGGATAAGCTCTTCCTGCCTCCTCGTAAAAGTTCTCACGGTAGGTGCCGCCGGGAACAGCGTAGTCATCCCAGAAGAGACCTCGTTGCCGAAGTTCTGGCACAAGTAGCTCCGCGATATCCTTGAATGACTGGGGGAACAGCACATATCCCTGCGTAGCTGCGTTAGATACGTTGATCGTGTTGATCTACGAGAGGACATGCTACTTACAAAATTGAAACCATCTACGTCGGCTTCACGCACCCAAGTCTCCAAGCTGTCGGCAACCTGGGATGGCGTTCCAACGAAGAGAGGGCCGTTTCCTCCCAGGCTGACGTGCTCGGCAACGGTATGCTTGGTCCATTTCGAGTTGGCGGGCGAGAATCTAGCATACCCTTCCACGGTAGATCTAGATACACACAGGGTGAGTTTACTAACAATTATCAGTGCTGGAATCAATGCGGGGCCACTCACTTGACAGCATTGCTTTCAACATGCCTCAGCTCCTCTTCGTCTCCGTACTGGTTGAGATCTATGCCCGTCCATCCACCAAACAATGATAGCGCACCTTCCAAGGAAGCATATTTCTTGTAGTCATTGTACTTGGCGAGGGCCTCTTCCTCCGTCCGGCCGAGGATGGGGGTGACCAAAGCCAGAACCTTGATCTTGGTTGGGTCACGCCCAAACTGCTCCTTGGCCAACTGTCGGATTTCTACAATATTCTTCTTGCAGACCTCCGGTGCATGGGCAGACGTGAAGATGGCTTCGGCGTGCTGAGCAGCAAAGGCCTTCCCGGCTTTGGAAGCACCCGCCTGTAGGAGAAGGGGTGTGCGCTGAGGACTAGGGTGTGTGATGTGTGGGCCAGGGATGTTAAAGAACTTTCCCTTGTGGTTGATCTCTCGGACAAGCTCTGGGTCAGTGTAGATGCCCTTCTCACGGTTGAGCTGGATAGCATCATCGCGCCAGGATGACTGGAAGAGCTTGTACATGACCTTCAGGTACTCTTCGGCCAGGGCGTATCTGTCATCATGCTAAATAAGATCGTTAGTCAGTTCACATCTGGGGGATAAGCTAATCCATGGGTATGATTGGCTAGGGGTTGCTCGCATACATTCAGCTGTTCAGTTCGGCCGAGATTCTTTGCAGCCGAGTCCAAATAGCTAGTGACGATCTACACGGAGTTAGTTTCGTTGGGATCATATAAGCTACATGCAGTGCTACCCACGTTCCACCCAAGTCTATATTACATCGAGTTAGTACGTAAAGTTAGGTTAGAGTGGGATGGATCAAGGGCCATGGCGACAGACCTTCCCTTGGTGAGATGATCAACGGTCGACAGCCTTCTAGCGAGATGGTATGGCTGCTCATAGGTTGTCGACACCGTGACACCGAAACCAATGCTTTTGGTCACTGCAGCCATTGCAGACACAACAGCCAGTGGCTCTGTGACAGGCCATTGCGACCCGGAGACAATAGCCGGTTCAAGAGATTTCTTGTATACGTCATATCCGCCTGCAGGAGAAGGCCGGCGTCAGTGGCCGCAAGTGAAACGAAAACGAATCTCAAATATTTCGGATATAAAACGGAAAGTTCCACAAGCAGGGGAGATGACCAGGGATGCAGATGCGGAGAAGGCGGCAGGGGGAAACAGTTTATCTTACCCAGCACATCTGCGATGAAGATGCCGTGGAACTTGGCCTCTTCGAGCGTTTTGGCCAGCTCAACCCAGTGCTCGGTGCTGTCAAAGCGCCACGACTGATCGTCAGGGTGCCGCCAAAGTCCGGGGGACTGATGCCCGCTGCCTGTCAATTGGATATTCCCTCGTCAGCACCAAAGCCGTTGCTCGCAGAAGGAGGAGGGGTGTGTCGACGTCCGACCGGGGGAGAGGACGGCTGCCTGCGTCTTGATTGGACCTACACATCATAACGAATGCATTGAGAACAAGGCGCTTCTGCACGTCACGGGGTCCATCGGGGGCTGCCATGGCTGTTGCTGGTTGGTGTTCGCTGTGCGGGCGTGAGTGATATGTCGGTTCAGATGGCAGACGATAGCTTCATCTCGATGTGGAAAGGGGCCCAGCCACCGTCCGCCAGGGACGGAAGACGGGTATATCTTTGTAGGGAAAGAATAGCAGCGTGCCCGATGATCGGAGGCATCAACACCGGTTGAGCCTGGTGGCCGTTGAGGATTGGGCCGGTGGTGGATGTGAATGGGATTGCGTGATACGTTAGTTTCCACCAGCCCCAGTCTATCTGTGATCTCGCCATCGCAGCAAGGAATGATGCACCACGTTGATTACACAGCAGAGTCGTGTCTGTCCTCGGCCATCCATGCAGCCATGCATCGATCTCGTTGTCAAGGCCAATAGATGAGATAACCGACCCCGGCCGGGGCGGTTGTTTGATTGCTGGCTTTAAGTGCCATTCAGACGCAATCTGCATCTAGTTTTGTCCTCTTACATTCATCCTCTTTCGCACCCCTCCTCCATCTCGAGGTCCCTGGTCGGTTTTTATTTTATTTTATTTTATTATTTTCTTACGGCCTTGATTCATAGAGTGCTCTCCGACCTGCATACAACCTTCACCTCAAGCCCATCCATCCATCCCTCACATCAACATGCCTGAATGGCTCACGTCCAGACGCTGGTCTTTGCGGACACGCAGTGATAAACGCTCTCGCACCCCCGTCGAGGAGAAGACCAGTGATATCACGACTGCTCCCGCACCAGCCAAAGTCCAACCGGAAATCCAGATCCCCGACACACAAGCCGCAGTTCTTCTACACGCACCGAAACAGCCATACCAACTAACCAGCGATCATCCCGTGCCAGAGCTTCTTCATGAGAATGAAATACTGGTGCGCACGCGGGCGATCGGCCTGAATCCAATTGATTGGAAATCACCGTAAGCTCAAACTCGCGCCCTCCGATGCTTCCGCACCATGCCTTGCATTACAGGTGACCACTCATTATTCATCGGCCTATGCTAATGCCCGCCTCCAGAGACTTCAATTTTGGTATCCCAGTACTACCGTATCTCTCTGGCCGGGAGCTTGCTGGAGATGTAGTACGTGCAAACTCAAAGGCCGGCTTCGATGTTGGTGATCGTGTAAGTTGGATGAAATTCCATAGCACCCTATTTAATTAAAGATGCTAACATCATGCCAGGTCGTCGCCATATCAACCGACTATCGGGACCAGCGGAAAAGCGCCTACCAGGAATACGTCGTCGCCCCCGACTACAATGTTGTCCGACTCCCTTCCCACATCTCATACGAGGAGGGCTCAACCGTTGGTGTAGCGTTTGTCGCCGCTGCCCTCGGTCTTGGTGTATCAATGGGTGTGGATTTCTCACAGGTCGCCAACGGTCCAGACCTGTTCACGCTCCTCAGAGATATCGACGAGTCTAGGATACCGGCAGACGTAAGGGCAGAGAGTCTAGCTGGTATCCGCAACAAGGAACGCCCCAAGAAGGGTGACTGGCTGGCGGTTTGGGGAGGTGAGTTTCGTGTCTACAACGAATAGGATGGCCATACAATCTAACCTTCTTTCGCGTTTAGGTTCTGCCACCTCAGCACATCTAACGATCCAATTGGCGAAGCTCGCGGGGCTCAGAGTCGTGGTCATGGTTGATAAAGCCAAGCACGGCCTTCGCATTTCTAATCACCAATCCATCCGACCTGACCTACTAGTAGACAGTCATGACCCAGAGAGAGCCATCAGCATCATCAAGGCCAACACCAAGGGCAGCCTACGGTTTGGTCTTGACACACGAGGAAAGGAAACGTCGGAATATTTACTGCGGGCCATCTCACCCGAGTCACCTTTGACCAAACCGGGAGTGGACGAAGATAACCTTCCCACGCCGCCGGGAACACCAAGCGTCGACGGCCACAGGTCTCATCTTATCGGAATGAGTGGCCTTCCAAAAACTGCACCTGGCCAGGAAGTTTTGCTTCACAACGTCCCAATCAAATTGTTCCATGATGTGCCCGAGGTTGGCTCGGCATTGACATCTTGGCTTGGTCGCCTCCTAGGTGAGGGCATCATTACTCTGCCTGACGTTCTGGATGTAGAAAAAGGATTTGAAAACATCAATTCGGGATTAGACCGGATGCGAAGGGGAGAGATTAGTGGTGGAAAATTGGTTGTAAAGGTATAGACGATAGATTGCATCCCAGCTCAGCTGGCATTTCCTAGCATAGTTTGATCATCGGGAATCACTGCCCATTTATTCTACCTAGTCATATTCAGCATGGTATATATCATATCCTACACAAATTTTTTTTTTATCAAACTACTGCGAAAAGACCAATACGTGACCATGAAAACCGCAGCGTGGATCAACCCTCAGACGACATCGGTGCGATGATTGGAGAGGCCATCATAGTCTGCAACGATTTACATTCCTCGTACGCATGTAGAAGCTGGCCCAGGTCTGTGATTGTGGGGATGCCTTATGCACGATCTATTGAGATCCAATCGATGGAATATGGGTTCTATTTGTCTATCTCTGAGCCTTGCAAGAACCAAGACACACCCTTGCCTACATCCTAGTTCTATCGTGAATCTAATCTATCGTTGTCTCTCTATATAGCAGCGTTCAACCCCGCTTTGTGTCAGGCTCCTCGTTAACTTGGCCAATCTCACTGGGAGTTTCTGATTCATCAGACTCGGAAATGACATGGTCCTTTGTACCCAGCTTCCGGATAACAAGCCAGGCAGGAAGAATGGCGACCGCCCAAAGGCCAAAGTTGAGGTAGACGGCTCCAACCTCAGCAATGATCACCTGGGATCCAATTCCATAACTGATAGCTTGCCAAGCAGACTCCGCTCCACGCAGGATGGCCGAGTACCGAATAACTTCCTGCTTGTCGGTTGAGAGGTTCTGAACAATAAAGTATCTGGGAGTTTGTTAGCATAACGTACTCCTTCAGGCACCATAACTAGTTTTTCGACTCACAAGAATAGGTAGTTCAGTTGGAAACCCAGAGTAAGGAAAATGAAGACACCAAATCCAGCACCGAAGCCTGGACTGGACCAATCGTATGTGGGCCTAGTTTGGTGATATCTGGTGACCAAGACTGTGGCCCAAGTCCACCAAGCGCCTTGTAAGGTAACGATGACCCAGAATGCATACCTGGCTCGGATCTTTAAAGGGATCGTGGTGCGATCAATCCAGGCCTAAGAATTCGAGTTAGTGGGTGGTTGAGTTTATATGTAGGGCATAGACATACACCAAGAAGATTGCCTCCAGTGACAGCCACGATGCCGGAAAGAAAAGATCCCAGGGCTCTTGCGCGCACACTAAACCACACTATTTTGATCAAAGTCAGCAAAGCGAGCTTAGTAAAGTATGCATGTATGAGGCCTTACAGGATAAGTAGGTGAAGAACACTGCTTCCGAAAACACGGCTTGGCCGATGAAGAACAGAATGAGAAGGAAGTCCTTGGTGAAGAAAAGCTTCGTCGTTCGCTTAATCTCGGGCCAGGGGCTTCCATCAATTCTCAGGTTGACCTTCTTTCCATCCAGACGTTCCACTTTGTCAGGCGGTGTCAAGAACATGCCGAAGAAGGGTCCCAGAGCCTGGATGGTGATGAAGATGATGAAGACAGTGTAGGAAACCTTGCCGGCCTCGGAGCGGTCTGCATTCAAGCCGAGGTTGATGGCTCCGCCGATGATCTGGCCGGACAGACGATAGGTAAGCCAGTACCCAAGGGCTTTCCCTCTGTTCCACGGTTCTGGATACGCGATGGCGATGGCAGCTTCGGCCATCCAGAAGACGCCGGCGGAGATACCGCATAGTGCAGCACCGAGGATTACAAGCCACTCATTGCCAAAGCGGTTGTTTGCGTATAGACCGGCGGCATAGGGCGCATAGCCGATACTGAAACCCAGTGTAAGTAAAATCCCGAGAACGTAAAGCAGCCTATTCAACATACGTTCCAAAAATAAGGGCGCCCTTGATTCCAATGTAGTGCACCAAGGCACTGGATACCCAGCAGGATACAACCATAAGACAGAACGTCAAGGCATTTGCGGTGTTAACCAAGTACGGCCTCTGAGCTCCACCTGCTCCCAGGGAATTCATGGCAGTCCAGATGCCAGGAGCCGCAAGGTTACATAGACCCAGAATGGTCATGTTGTAGAACGTAGAACGATACCAACGCACTGTGATTGGCACATGTTAGCCACAGAGGATCGTCTTCAAAGCTAGTAGCACTATGTCTTACCACGATGCGGGCCGCCAGTCGGAGCGGCGCCGCCATTCTCGCTATTGTCGACGGCTTGTTCTGCCGTGGAAGCCATGACTGGTCAGATGGTGTATGGATCAATGCAAGGCAGTACGGATTAATGCAGAACAGAGCGGGGAGAATTGCTTTTGTTTCATTCATTCAGAATCTGCAGCATGACGACCTGTTTTTATCTTCTACAAGCCCGTTTGTCCGAGCACAATCACGCAATAGCCTCTATGTCACTCTGACCTTGGCGGTGGAGAATGAGCCGTGAGTGAAGACACCCTTTGATAGAACTTCTAATATACCTCGATTGCACGCAGTCAGAAATTATAAACCGAGTCGCAAACTTCCGAAGCGATCGGACGTGGGCTCCCAGCAGGGTTAGGCAGTATCGAGCAATTAAATACGATGCGACACTGGCTCCCTCGCGTTATCACAGCTCCAAATGGCGCGGCTGCAAATGGGAGCTGTTGAATGGCTGGGACGAGCCACGCGCAAGACCAGGGACCAATGTCATCATCAGGCGGCCACCAGATTGGTGTGTGGCCGTCGACGATCACCGGGCTGCCGGTGGGATGCCTGCACCAATGCCGATAGCGGGCAAGCCTTCCCCTGCGAGCTGCTGCGGATCTCAATGCCAAGTTCCAGTAGCCGGCCGGTCTCAGGCGGCCCAGACCCGGCCGGCTCGAAGCTTGGTCGGCCCTACAAGGGATGCTGATTGCACGATTGTCACTGCATGTTGGCTGATTCGCTTGCTTGTGTCATGCTGAAACGTGCGCCAAGACACATTAGATGTTAACGTGAGAAAGAAAGACGCGTGATTTGGAATAGAACGACAGATGATTAGCCTCGGTTGTATCAGCCCGGCCAGGATATCCTCGATCAAGGTGAATGTCATCTTTGCCGCACAACCGACCCTATTTCTTCGGTCACAAAGCAGTAGTTCCTGTAAAATTGTCTTCATCAAATATTCTCGCGCACCTGACCGCTCGAATTAGAGAGTAAACGGCGTCCATCTACTCTCGATCCTCAGTGTACTGTAACCGCCCTCACCGTTTCGGCGAGAGCGTCACGGCTGTCTTGGTCAAGGCAATACACGCCTCATTAATGTGCTCTGACAGAAAAATTAAATAAGTAAAGAACGGTTGTACTTCCTCTCTGCTTATTCCTTTTTGTGTGGCCGCGATGCTCTATAGCTGCGTTGCATCTAGCTTCGGTCAGACCCTTCTCTTCGATCCATTATCGGATTGGCGGCTGACAAGTTCAATCTGTAGCACAGGGTCATTGTCACAGCCTTTCACCTTTATTCCGGGGTTTCCTGTCATCGGGATCTCTCGATGCCACCGGTTTGTGCTTATGTTCAACAGCAGAAGGTCTCGATACATGATCAGCTAGCTCAGATGCCCTCGTGTATCAAACGTAGAGGAGAATGTAGGATAACAGTCAGTGCCTATCCGAGATCCTCTCCATTTCCTATTCAGCGTCTAAGACTAGGGTTGCCGCATTATTGACCCTATTGTCGTCTCTACTCTGACATAGGGTCGGCAGTGAGCATATAATGACAATCCTTCATCGCCTGCTCTTCCGGCTTGCGGTTCCGGATAACTACCGTTACTTGTTGCCAATAGCTTCAGTCAGCTAACGAAGCTCTCCATCCTTTGTCGGTTATGAGCCACAAAGAATATTCCCTCCAGTTGTTTGGTATTCCCCAGAATCCCAAGACACCTGAATAGAACACTAATGCACGAGGCTCGTTTCGTCATTGATATTTTCCCGTCGGAGGGAAAGAATTACCAGCACGTGCATATTGATCAGATAAGATAAGATCGAATCGGAACAAATGGCTGCACTCTGCTCAACCTCTTAGAACTAGCCTTTTGGTGCGCTACGTGTACTCGGAGATCAACCCATACCTCACATGCTCGCCACTTCAGAATCTCCGGAGTTTTGTGGGGAATGATAACTGAACGGAAAGAGATCCGGTATGGCGCTGGGTCAAAGCCAGTCTGCTTGGACGGGCTCCGTTCCGCAAGGGCCATCGCCGAGTCATTTCGAGGCCATACGCAGGTCGACTGATAACCGAGCCGCACAACCACGTTCCCGGTAACTACCCGAGACACGCTTCGGCCTTCAGCCTTCGAGTTGAACAGAAGTCAAGGCGAAGGCCATGACTCTCGAAATGCTAGTCGGGCTCGAAAGCCTGAGAAAGATCCGGAAACTGTCCGGTATCGGGCGGCAACCGACGAACAGTCGACGAGACTGTTGAGAAGTTGTCGGAGCTCAAAAACTATATAGCTGGTTGACTCTTCAAATGCAGAGACTATTACCATTAATAACAAGCCACCAAGAAAAGACATATTCAATTCTGTGCAGCATCGATTAGCACCTGTCTTCCACAACTCCATTCACTATCGCCACCATGGTTCTTGTTCCTCATCGACCCGGCCAGTTCAAGGTCCTTGGCGAGGTCGACGATGCAGCCAGCAAGATCTTGACTGAAGAAGCTTGCCAATTCCTTTCGATCTTGCACAGATCTTTCGAAGGAACTCGTAGAGATCTCCTCTACCAGCGTGTGCTCAAACAGAAGAGATGGGATGCTGGAGAACGGCCTGACTTCCTCCCCGAGACCAAGGACATCCGAGAAGATGGCCGATGGCGCGGAGCTGCCCCGGGTCCAGGTCTTGCCAACCGCCGTGTTGAGATCACCGGCCCTACCGACAGAAAGATGGTCGTCAACGCCCTGAACTCCAATGTCTATGCGTACATGGCTGATTTTGAAGGTGAGCAATTGATTTCTAGTCACTACTTCCTGAGATTAAATCTAACTATCTAAAGATTCCCTTACACCCACCTGGAACAACGTTGTCCAGGGACAGATTAACCTCTTCGATGCTGTCCGTCGCCAAATAGATTTCACGCTCGGCGAGAAGGAGTACAAACTACGCACAGACAGGACTCTGCCAACCCTGATTTGCCGTACCCGTGGATGGCATCTCAACGAGGAGCACTTCCTAGTCGATGGCGCCCCCATCTCAGGAGCGCTGTTTGATTTCGGCCTGTACTTCTTCCACAATGCCAAGGAGCTCATTCCTCGAGGTCTTGGCCCTTACTTCTATATTCCCAAGCTCGAGTCTCATCTCGAGGCCAGACTGTGGAATGACGTATACAATGTCGCCCAGGACTTCATTGGAATCCCTCGGGGAACTATCCGCGGTACCGTTCTGATCGAAACCATCACTGCAGTATTTGAAATGGATGAGGTACGTGCATACACAGTGACCCGCTGTTTAGGGCTTCTCTTCTAATCGTACGAATAGATCATCTACGAGCTCCGTGACCACATCGGAGGCCTCAACTGTGGCCGATGGGACTACATCTTTACATTCATCAAGATCTTCCGCAACCGACCCGACTTCATCCTGCCGGACCGCATTGATGTCAACATGACCGTGCCGTTTATGGACGCCTACGTCAAGCTCCTGATCAGCACCTGCCACCGCCGCGGCGTGCATGCCATGGGCGGAATGGCTGCCCTCATCCCCATCAAGAACGACGACGAGGCCAACGCCAAAGCAATGGCCAGCGTCAAGGCCGATAAGCTCCGGGAGGTCCTGGCCGGGCACGACGGAACTTGGGTCGCTCATCCGGGGCTGGCGTCGCTTGCAGAAGAGATCTTCAACACGTACATGCCGACGGCAAACCAGACCTTCCGCCGACCACCCCTGGCGCAGGTCACCAGGGATGATCTCCTGAACCCTAACGTGTCCGGAAATATCACGCTTGACGGTGTGAAGAAGAACATCCAGGTCTGCCTGGTGTACATGGAGGCGTGGATCCGCGGCATTGGCTGCAGTCCCATCAACTTCCTCATGGTACGTAATCGTCCGACATCCCGGTGCAACCTAGCCGATTATCTAATATGTGCCCAATCTATAGGAAGATGCGGCTACCGCCGAGGTATCACGAAGTCAACTCTGGCAGTGGGTGCGTCACGGGGCCAGCACGGTGGAAGGAATCCGACTGGACAAGCAGTTCGTGCTTGGCCTTCTCGACGAACAGCTCGCGAGCCTCACATCATCTGCGGCGGCAGACAACAAGTTTGAGCTCACCGCCGGATACCTCAGGAAGGAAATCACAGGCGAGGACTACTGCGGCTTTTTGCCAGAGTGAGTGTCTTCCGAAACACCCAGATCAATGCGGGCATTGAGCTAACACAGTCGCCTTTAGATTACTCTACAATGAGATTACGACCAAGAAGTCGGCATAATCTTGCATGTAGGAACGTAGAGCGCATTAGAGAAAGTATCAAAATCATGAAACATGACCGAACTAGACAGCATAGTTGAGCAGAAATCCTATTTTTCTCCATAGCTACCCGCCTGATCCAACCCTGCCTGATGATCATTGAACGAGAGCCCAGAAGTGGAATCACAAATCGTTCGAAATAACTGGCCCTTCGGAAGCCTTGGGTCCGAGAACTACGGACTGATTCTTGCTCTTAGATTATGCAGGGGCACAAATCTGTTTAAGATCGACAGCAAAAGTGGTCGCGTTTTCCATTTCCCAAGGATCGGCACCTTCTCATGCTCTATTCGCGGGTGAATTCATTGAAACACCACCAACCAGACCGTACGATTCACGAAATGAGCAAGGATTGCCTTGGTTATGGGACCCATTGCCAGTCTGCCTGCATCGAGTGGTAAAGCAGACGCCTTCCACGGCCCTTGAGGCCGTGATCCATCCCCGGATTAACTCCAGCATCTGTCGTTGGCGCCGTTGAGTATTCTCCGGCTCGTCGCGAGGGACTCCGGCAGAATTGGAGATCGGATTTGCCGCTGCACGCTGGTGCTGACGTCGGCTTGCGTCGCATTGCATGCGTCAGGTACCCTTTTCAGCCCCTTACCGTCAACTTTATCTTACCACTGGATCACCATTTGGCCCAAAACTTCTACTTCGAGTCATCCTCCGAGGACTGGGCATTCCGCTTATCGTCTGCTTCTTGTTCCAATGGTCTCACGGCGATGACATCAGATGGAAGATGACCCCTCAAGGCATACAGCCAAGGCGAAACTGCAACGACCCCAGCAATTGTAGCGGGCAGGGCAAATTCAATGGCTAAATTCCTCCGTGCTTGCCGCTGTTGCATCCGCCGGGTTTCAATGTGCACCCCCTTAACTTTTCCCTGAAACAGATGAGTGGCAGGGATGGGAACTTTAGTTTCCCGAATCCCCAGGATTTTCCTCTGGAGATTCAGCACACATGACACATGGAGGGCCAAGGCCAATAAGGCTTCACCAAATCGTCCATGTCTATATTCAAACTCCCCCACAACGGACCAAAGCTGGATGAGTCCGTTTTAGGAAGGCTGCCACCATTCTCGAGCCTCCTGGCTAGAGTGCGTTTGGCGCTTAGGGAAGAGATCTGCTCGATGACCTGCACCCACAGCTTGTGGATCCTAACTTGTCGTGTGGTCTTACTCTCGCTGAAGGAGAGCGTGGGAGCAGTGAGGGGGCTCGACGGCCCGGGAAGACGGGAAGAGAAGCGAATGCTGAGACTTCTCTTGACCTCTTGCGGCCTGTGTCTTCCGTTTGGAGTTGAATCCGAAGTGTTTGATACTCTATGCATCAGAAACCGAACCGAATATAAATATGGCTCTCGTCCGGCCCCTTTGTTCTTCAAGTCCAGACACTCATCAACCAACATCTCATTCTCCAGTATCATAGATTTCAGAACTCGGATACGATGCTCTCTCTTGTTGCCCTCTCTCTTATTTCTGCGGCCGCGGCCCAGAAGGCTGGTACTAACACCGCCGAGACTCACCCATCTCTCTCATGGAAGAGGTGCACAGCTGCAGGCTCCTGCTCCAACGTCAGCGGCTCGATCGTCATTGACTCCAACTGGCGCTGGACCGATAAGGGTGAGAAGCACCAAAGTATCAATCCTTCAGTATCACGGACCGGTGCTAACCATCCTTCCAGACGGCACCAACTGCTACGACGGCAACAAGTGGACCAGCGCTTGTAGCAGCAACGAAGACTGTGCCCAGAACTGTGCTCTCGAAGGTGCCGACTACTCTGGAACATACGGTATCACTACTAGCAGCGATGCCTTGACCCTCAAGTTTGTTCAGGAGCACGCCTACGGCACCAACATCGGCTCCCGAACATACCTCCTGAACTCTGAGTCCAAGTACGAGATGTTCAACCTGATTGGCAACGAGCTGGCTTTCGATGTCGATCTCTCAAAGGTCGAGTGTGGTCTTAACAGTGCCCTCTACTTTGTCGCCATGGAGCAGGACGGTGGCATGGCCAGCTACCCCAACAACAAGGCTGGTGCCAAGTACGGTACTGGTTACTGTGATTCCCAGTGCGCCCGTGATCTCAAGTACATCGGCGGTCTCGTAAGTCACCCGAACTTTTCTCTCTGGGGACCCCAGAACTAACCTCTCGACTCAATCTAGGCCAACTACGAGGGCTGGGAGCCTTCTGAGAGTGATGAGAACGCTGGTGTCGGACAGCGCGGTGCCTGCTGTGCTGAGATCGATATCTGGGAGTCCAACTCTCACTCCTTTGCTCTGACCCCCCACGCTTGTGAGAACAACGCGTTCCACATCTGCACTGCTCCTGACTGTGGCGGTACCTACTCCGAGGACCGCTTCGCCGGTGACTGCGACGCCAACGGCTGTGACTACAACCCCTACCGCATGGGCAACCCCGACTTCTACGGTGCTGGCAAGATCGTCGACACTTCCAAGAAGTTCACGTAAGTATCATATCTCCTCTTCGCTGGTCGGAAGATCATGTAGCTAACGGCATCTATAGCGTCGTCACATCCTTCACCACCAGCGGCCTCAAGCAGTTCTTCGTCCAGAACGGCGCCCGCATCGACATCCCCGCCCCCACCCACGCCGGCCTCCCCGACAGCAGCGAGATCAACGACGCCCTCTGCAGCACTGTCTTTGACGTCTTCGGCGACTACGACCGCTACTCCGAGGTTGGCGGATGGTCCGCCATCTCCGACGCTCTCTCCAAGCCCCATGTTCTGGTCTTGTCCATCTGGGCCGACGTGAGCTCCCCTGCTTCCTTGTATGATTTTACTCCGTATAGTCTTGCTAATACAAAATCCTTTTCTTCCAGCACTACGCCAACATGCTCTGGCTCGACGGTGTCTGGCCCGCCGACTCCACCAGCCTGGGTGCCAAGCGTGGCGACTGCCCTGCCAACTCTGGTGTTCCCTCCGAGGTTGTCGCCAACTACCCCGACGCGTAAGAAAAGCCCCATCTCGAAATGTGATATAGAAACCATGAGTTGCTAACCTGACCGCTCTAGCTTCGTCACCTGGTCCAACATCCGCTTCGGACCTACCGGCTCCACGACTGGTCTCTAAACGACCACTCTCGAAGACTATCGATCCCGGAACGGGGAGGAAAATTGACGACTTGGCAGAATCAAGAGATTTTACGAGGAGGACGCTTCAGTTATTTATATTCTCAGTCTTTCAACCATTTTCTGTATATAGCTCGTGGCTCTAGACGTCCTGATTTCCGTGGTGGCAAGTATCCGTCTTGTTCTGTGGAACTAGACGAGGCCTATTTCATAAGAATAAAACTCTGTCTTATAACTCTCCAAAGTCCCAGTTACCTGAACTACATTGGTAAAGCAAATTGTAGGAAAGTTAGTTGTCAAACTCGCCAACAGGGACTCATGAACTCAGAAATATTTCAAAATCTCACACAGAATCAGGTCCTACTTGCGAAATGGCGACAGTCTAACTCATACAATCGAATCCAGCTCCGTAACAGATGTAATATCTCAACGTAATCAACACTGGCATTTCGCCAGGCTGCCTTGCCCTATCCCGCCGACCCATTGGTAAGAGCTTACTCATACCGTGGGAATGCCATTGAAAACCCTCATCAGCAAATCGCATCCCAGGTGCTTCGGACCCCACAGTTTTAACCCAGCATGATTCTCCCAAACCAGTGATTGGAATATGGGATTCTGGATGCGGTCCCACAGAGGGATTTCAAAGGTACGTGTCACATCTTCAGTCTCAGACCCGCCCGGCCGTCACCTGCCCACTGGATCCACGGGATCGATTGGCTTCCTCGAGAGAAGCATGTTTTGCCCACCCGAGGGTGTGGATCTCCTGCAAGTCATCACAGTCTCGCGAGTGGACGGCTCGCGCAAGGTGAGCTGCGTCGCGCTCGACGTCCGACACATGAGGTTTTGGGTATATAGAGACGTGGCATTTGTTTCCTAGGGAGATCGACGCCTAACCACGTCGATCACCCTATCGCCTGGATGCACGTTGATTCAATGCCTGCTTGATTACACGGCATTGCTTCTGAGGATACCCGTCTCCCGCCTATGGGGTAGATGCATCGAAAAGGCGCCCAGGGTACTGATTAGTCGGTTATCAGGTTCCAGATGAGGGAAATCCAACCAAGTTTACTGCATGAAGACTCAATGCCTGCTTGGGACATATCACAATGAAGAGGGGACTCGGAATCACGAGAACATCTTGATATCATGGAAAGAAAAAAACCAGCGCCTATCGCTCGCTAATATGCCCAAACTAGGATATGCAGACCCATGGTACAGTTACAACAAAAGAAAAGACAGAAAGAAAAGAGGATAGAAAGACGCAATCAACGAACCAGACTTGGTGGGATGGCACCCCTGCTCGTGAAGAGATAGTGTGATTATTAGACCGCAGCTGCAGCTGCAGACGACGAGGCAGCCGCAGCGGACGAGCTGTTGGCGATGGACGAGCCCTGCGCCATCTGCATCTCAAACAGGCGGATAAAGGACATGACAGCGACGATCTCAAACAGCTCGCCCAGCTCGCCGGTGGAGCCCTCATTGTGGAAGCGGAACTTGGCATTGTTGTAGCGCCAGCGCTCGCCGGCAAAGACAGCCACGACGGACCGACCGTCGCTCGTGACGCCGCCCATCTCGTCATCGTCGCTGCCGGTGTGTGCGCTGGACGACGAGGCCGCGGGAGGCCCGTGGAGGCGCACGAGTTTGAGGCCGAATTGGAAGCCGCCAACGAGGTCCTTAACCATCCTGCCCTTGCTCTGGCGCCACTCGAAGGTCTCCAGGTGGCCGTCGGCGCCAACGGGGACGGTGAAGTGGTGCTTGGACTTGTAGTTGCCGTCCATGCTCGTCTCGAAGGGGTGCTGGAGGGCGCTGCCGCGGTGGGGCATGACCCTGAGGGCGGTGCGGGTCGTCTTGCTGCCCTTCTCGACGCCAGCCGAGGCGAGGGGCGCGTCGAGCTTGTCGGTGCCGCTGAGCAGGACGATGTCGGACCAGCCCATGGACCAGCGGGGGATCCTGACGAGGAACAGGGGCTGGTCCTTGACCTCGCCGAGGTGCGAGTGCGAGCGCCCCACGCGGTAGGTGAAGACGAGCTGCTGGGGGAAGAGGATTGGCCTGCCGTGTCTGTGCTTGGAGTCGGAGACGGTCTGGTAGGCTGGGCTGGCAGAGTTGGTGTAGGCTGGTGGAGCGCCAGCTGGAGCGTCGTACCGCTCCTCGGACTGGAAGAAGTGCTGGTGATGGTGGTTCTGCATTGTGGCTGGTGGGATGGTAGGTGTGGCGGTGAAAAAGGAGAGTTCTAGGCAGTTGCTGTACACAATATGAAAATAGATGCAATTGTGGTGAATTGCGATAATGATGAATCAATACAGAGTACGAGAGCTCCCCATCCTTATATATTCCCCATTTCCATCAAAACATCCATGATGCCGCTAGAGACAGCTCGGCAGTGTGATGCCAAAATTAACAGATTCGGGTACTGTGTCTTACCCCGGAGGACTCCGGCCACTGCTGATTGGCCAGATTGCGCTCTTGTCGTCCAAGTGGCGGTGCAGCCCTTCGACGGCCTCAGGGGGCTTCCAGGGGATCTTCACGCTGGACTCGGGGGCATTGCCGCTCTGGGGAGGACCTGGATCCACAATGGGGCTGAGCTGATGCTGATTGGCCGGTTCGCTGAATCTTCAATCGTACAACCAATCAGAGGTCGCGCTGGGCGATCTTACTGTTCACTGGACGGTTCTTCATTGCTCATCATGGGCAGTCATCGATCGTCATGCGGCAGATGAGGTGCCATCAGCTGAGAAGGCCGCTGCAGAGGCCGCTCGCCTTCCAGAAACAGCCTGCGGTCGTTCCATTTCCTCGTGCCATGTTGCTGCTTCAGGCCACCAGGTAGGTCTTGCTGCAGACACACTGCGGGTGTCGGCAGTTTCACCATTTAGTGATGCTACCTGCTACTTGCTGTCGCAGTCCGTAATTCCGGACTGTGATCAGTCAGGTTTCACCACTTTACTCAATCAATGCTCATGTTGGCATTGATGGTGGCTTCTCAGAATGCCCGCTTTATGGCACACATTTCTCCTCTAGTCATTTTATTTCAAAATGAATTACAACTTGAGTACATATTTATTTCCTTTTCCATGAATCTTCTTCATTTTTCTGCGTTTCCTTTCTTTGTCGCTCAACCTCAGCCCCCTCGCAGCTGAGTTTAGGGTATGCACACGGAAATTGAACCAAAGGCCAAAAGCAGAGAAAACCACCCAATTTATCGTGCGCCAGCCAGATCTATCATATGCGCGCGTGCCACGTGTTCATCGTGCAGAGCATTTTATGATGAGATTGCACTAGCTGATCATGCGATGCGTTTTTGCTTTGCACACGACACCGTTTCTTGTGCCAATCATCACCGCGCGCCCACCTGAAGCTGAAATCCAATCAGGAAGCCACCAAGCTCTCAGGATGCAGCTGAACGCCGGTGATGCCAGGAAAGGGGCCTCGTCTTAGTCGAGCTGGGGGTCAGCAATGTCCGCCGAGGGCTGCACCGCCTCGACCAAGTGGGTAGACGAGCATGGCGAGAAGGGAGCGTGATCACCGGGCTCCGCTGTTAGTGCCTCCCCGCCTGCCACACCGCCGCCGCTAACATGCCCGTCGCTGGTTTGGGTCAGACACAACATCTGCCTCTCAGGTCTGGTCAATGCGTCGACTGCCCTCGGATCACGCTCATTCAGCTCTGCGGGATCTGATCTCATATCTGTTGCATTGACCCACCATCTCTGCTTAATATTGACTCGCTGGGAGCAATATACAGGAGGGACTCCCCTGCCCTGCCCGGCTAAATCTTCGCAACTCGTTTTCGTTGCTGTGCCGTGCGCTGGTCGGTCATGTCATGGTCAGAGCAGAGCCAACTGGCAGAGAGGGCACCGTAATCATTCGTCGACTGTGCTCATCTCATAAAAGCCCCGGATCGGCCAGCTTCGCCCAGTTCTCGACGATCTTCGCACGGGTCCTGACCCTGGTCTTGTCTTCGCGCTACTGCAGATCAAAAATTTACTCGCATCCGTTATATTCCATCCCCAAGCCCCCGTCTTCTCGGCCGACCATAACTGTTATTCTCCGGAGTCTAGGGGTAAATATCGCAGGGATCGCCAATCGCCCGACATCATGGCCGTGTTGACGCGCGAAGCTGCTCTTTCGCCCGCGCTCTCGTTTGCTTCTTTCGAGTCTGATCCGTGCTCGTGCCAGCCGTTCCCCTCGTCATCCGAGCCGCGGGCCGCACTGACATCCCTGCCACGGGAGATACTGCACGATATCTTTGCCCGGCTGCAAAAGCCAGATCTCCTGAGCCTGCGCCTCCAGTGCGCGTACCTGAGTGATGTGGCCACCGCGCTCGCCTTCAGGTCCTTGCGGCTCGTGGCGTACGGTCGATCGCCGCTGGATTTCATCCACATTGCGCGTTCCGAGCGCCTGCGCGGGTTGGTCCAAGAGCTGACGTGCGACACCGCCATCCACCCCACGATTGTCGACTTCCGCGCCTACGGGTACCAGGAACCGACAGAAATGCTCAAGGCGCTCGAGTTTGTGCGCTTCTTCCAGAATTTGAAAGCCCTTCATCTGAGATTTACGCGGGACTACTGGTTCGTGTATGACGGCGAGTTTGAATCTATGGAGTTCCGGTTGCGGTTTTTACACACCGTCTTTTCTTGCATAGTTGGGGAGCCGTGCCCAATTGACTGGGACGCGAATTATGAGGACGAGATGGAGTACCATTATCACACAAGTGAGGATGATGAGCAGGAGAGTCGGAGCGTTGGTGAGGCTGACAGTCAACTCGGGGACGATGAGGGTGGAATGCACACCGATGATACTGAACATGAGACCAACGAGGACGTTGTGGAACCAGAAGTAGAGGAATTGGAGGATGAAGATGAAGAGGAGGTGAACGACAATGATTTTTTCGACCTCTTACAAATACCCTCAAAACTCCTCGAGAACCTGCCCGATGTCCTAACTGGCCCAATCAACCTTACCACATTCACAATCTCCAACCTGGCTGCGCAAAGAGACGCGAGATTATTAGAGAACAAAGTGTTTTCCCAAGTGCTCTCCTCGCGCAGTCTGGTTAACCTCAAACTTCTAATCACACCATCCATGGCTGGTATCGGAGGCTTTGCGGGCCGCCGAGCCGACATGAAAATTTCCATGTACGGCCACTTGCCCGCCACGTGGATCATGCCGTCTGCAGCTGCGAATCTAAAGGAGCTCTCTCTATACTCCCACGAATACTGGGGCTGGTTCCCCAAGCTGGACCTCCGGGACCTGGGCGAGTTGCCCAATTTAAGGATTCTCGCCTTGGGCCAATATACCTTTAGCCACCAGTGGCAGGTCGACTGGTTGGCTTCTCTTCAGCTAGAGGAGCTGTATTTGGATCATTGCGCAGTACTGCACCAGGTAGAAACCTGGGAGGAGTGGGTTGATGGAAGCTCGGCTTACACCGTGCAGGATGATGGCAATAATGCGCATGTAATCGTACCGAACGAGGGATACCTCAACCCAGACTGGAGGTTCATGACGCGCGGCGAGGGTAGTGAGCTGGTTCTCTCTTACCCTCTGCGTTGGCACACCATGTTCCGCCAGTGGGAACGGTCAATGACCTCCCTCAAGGTTCTCAAGGTCGGGCTGGGCGCGTGGAGAGGCCCGCCTCAAGAGACAGTCGAAGCCAACTACCCACGTGCGGAAGCGATGGAGAAGAGACAGAGATTTTCGCACAACGCATTTAGATATTATAGATGCCCGCCTCCCGGTGGGAGAGGCGAGCAGTATCGAGAGGGCACAGGGATCTCCGAGGATCACGAGCTTGCTCTCCAGTACTTGTATTTCGAAGGGACAGGATTTCAGACTTGGGACCACTGGGAAGCTCATGAGAGGTTTGTGAGAAGCCATTCTGGTAATTCCTTTACCGACTGGGTATTAGAGAATGGCTTAAGAGATAAGGATCGCTTAGCACAGAAGCTCTTAGTTTCAGCGATCCAGTCGCGAGGAAAGTAATAATACGGGCTCTACTAGGTTGCCTGTAGTATAAACACTCAATACTACTTAATTGTTCAAAAAAATTCTTAAATCAAATAGTTGTACTGTGACTCAGTATTTAATGGACCAGGGCTGAGTTATATTGGCCTGTATCTCAACATGAAGATCATCATATTGCGTAGCGGCACAGGCCCGACGGTAATTATTAGTTCAAACCAGGTTTGACTCGATCAGCATATCGCCATGTCTGACTTGATCCGAGCACCCTCGCTATCCCCGAGAGCTGAATGCAGTGGATTCAGACTGCAATTCGATCGCGGGACTCCCTTGGAAGTATTAAGAAGCATATTCTCAGGAAAGAAGAGAAATTAATCTCCACTGTCAGATATTGGGTGAAGTATCGCCAGAAGTGGGTGGACATGCTGCCCCTTTACCTATAATGCCGTCAGTATTGCCGCGGACTTTTGGTTCTCGCCAATATAGCACAGGTAATTCTCCGTACTCAAACTCCCGAGACCATATAAATAACGGCGAGGAATGTCTACTACATAGGAATATATCCCAGAATATAAGCTAATTAGTTTTCTACCACCAGCATTTTTGAATATCGAGCTAGATTTACCACCGCCTCTTTTGCCCTTCTCATCATGGGTGCCCTTCCCGAGACAGATACCACCTCCTCCGAAGACTCTCGCCCAGCCAAAGACTTATCCCGACACATATCCTGGATCCAGTCTCTTCTCTTCCATACGCTCTCCGATGATGTCTACAACCAGACCTACCCCGGTAACGGCACGAACGACGATCCCTACCTGGTTGACTACCTGCACAACGACTGCCAAGACGCCATGAACTTTACAAACAGACGAAAATGGGTCACCACAGTTTTCCAATCCCTATCTACGTTTGCGATTACATTTGCCAGCTCAGTGTACGCCAGTGGCATCCAAGGCGTCATGCAGCGCTTCGAAGTGTCTGAGGAGGTGGCCACGCTGGGGCTGTCGCTCTTCGTGCTGGGCTTCGCTCTGGGGCCGCTGATCTGGGCGCCTCTGTCCGAGGTATATGGACGCAAGTCCATATTCGTGATTTCGTTCGCGGCATACACGGCGTTCAGCGTGGCGGCGGCATGCGCGCCCAACATCGCGGCCTTGCTGGTCCTCCGCTTCCTTGCGAGCGCGTCTGGTTCGTCCGCGATGACCAATGCCGGGGCAGTCATCGCCGATATGTTTAGCAAGGCGGAGCGTGGAATGGCCATGGGGTTGTTTGCCACGGCTCCCTTCTTGGGGCCTGCATTTGGTAAGTGACGGATGACCTCCCTCCATCCTGGCACTCTTGATTCCTGCCTTGGAATTTGCTAATATGTATCCGGATTTCTGTTAATATAGGACCCATTGCTGGTGGTTTTCTCGCCGAAACCCAAGACTGGCGCTGGATCCTCGCCCTGGTAGCTATACTGAGCGCTGTCATCTGGATTGCCACGATGCTCGTCAGTCGTGAAACATACGCGCCGTTCATCCTTCGACATCGATCCAGGGCCCTCTCCCAAATGACGGGAAGTGTATATGTGTATCATCTAGATGCGGGAAAGCCGCCCAGGACGGTGGCACATGAGCTGTCCAAGTCTCTCACGCGGCCGTGGGTGATGCTGTTCCGCGAGCCAATCGTCCTGCTGACGGCACTGTACATCTCCGTCATCTATGGCACACTCTACATGTTCTTTGCCGGGTTTCCCATCATTTTCCAAGTTACTCGGGGCTGGAGTCAGGGCATCGCCGGCCTTCCGTTCTTGGGCGTCGCTATCGGTGTCTGCTTTGCCACACTCATAGGCGGCGTGGACAGCAAGCGTTATGGACGTCTGTGCGAGGCGGCCGAAAAGGAGGGTTCGGCAGTCGAGCCAGAGGCCAGGCTGTATCCGGCCATGGCAGGCTCAGTTGTCCTTCCGATTGGTTTGTTCCTATTTGCGTGGACGACGTATCCGTCGGTGCATTGGATCGTGCCCATCATCGGCGCCATGTTCTTCGCTTGTGGACTTGTCATGGTCTTCATCTCGCTTATAAGCTATCTGATGGACTCTTGTACGTTTCTGGTCCTCTTGGCGTGATGATCTGCAGCCACTAACATGTTTACCTGTCTACAGATGTCCTCTATGCTGCTTCCGTGATGGCAGCCAACTCGGGGATACGGTCCTTGATTGGCGCCGCGTTCCCGCTGTTTACCGCTCGGATGTACGAGAATCTCGGAAATCAGTGGGCGAGCTCCATTCCTGCCTTCCTGGTGCTTGCGTGTCTACCTTTCCCATTTCTGTTCTACAAGTACGGTTCACGGATAAGGTCTAAGTGTAAGTATGCTTCCGAAGCAGCCAAAGTAGCACAGATGATGCGTCGTCCGCAACCCACCGTGGTCTGAGGTGAGCCAAATGGACTGGAGGAGGCTTGGCGGGTTGTTTAATATGAGGATCTTATTAAAGAGATCATGGTAGGACCCGTGGTACACCATTTCGCGTCGGTGTGGGAAACATAGAGAGATAGACGGCGTTTATGTAGAGGGTGAACTGTTTATTGTAGTAAGTTGCCACTGAGCAAGACTGGGTTAGAAGTAGGAGAAAGAAATTTGCAAGACACACCCTAATAGATTTCTACACGTTTAATAAATAAAGACTAGGATAAATGCATGTGCCACGATGCCGCCTCTTTCCAAGGACAGCCCACGTCAATCAATATCGATCAGTGAACTCCAGCTCACCAATTTGCCACTCATCCAAGAAATCAAACCCTAGAAAATCCACATTGGGCGACGGAATATTCACGAGCGGCTCTACTTGAGACGAGTCTGTGCTCGTCTGTGCGGGCGGCGAAGTGTAAGCATCGATGGTGTTGTCTTGCGACTGCGACTGTATCGGTATTTGACGCGGGGTGTTGAGCGGAACTAAGGACAGGTTTTTCCTTGCGAGAACATCTTCAAATACTGGAAGTGCTCTTTTTAGTGCAGGTATTTCCTTTCCGTGGCTGAGGATAATCATTATCTGATTGATGGATATCCGAGCCATGGAACGAATGAGGTCTGTTTCGGTTAGGTCGAGAGCTGATTCTATATGTAGAGCGAGAAGAGCGGCTATCGTAGTGATACTGACAAGGCTGTTGTTAGCCCTAGGGAATCGACGAGATGTACAAAGAAGAGAAAGGAGGAAACAATTTGGGGCACCCACAAAGACATGGGGAACTCCCAAAGGGTGCCACTACTGAACACCCTCATCGCAATCGTGTCCAGCTCCAGGATGGCTGACCGTAACCGTGTTTTGATCCATTTACTCCAATCCGGATGCTCGGTTTGCTTCCAAACACGTCGCATAAGACGATACAAGACGCACTCAAACCTGTAGCTCATGGCTTGTATATTCAGATAGCAGACATCAGTTCCAGTATCCTCGTTGACATGCATCTTGGCAGGGAGGGATTTTCGCCACGCGTCGAGTGAGTGCATCATTTGGCGAGGATCTTGCTGTGGCTTGCTCGTCACATCGGACAAGTACTGCCCGACTAAAGGGTGTCAGTTATGCTTATGGTAGACATCGGCTGTAGGAGGCAGATGAAAACGGAAAGGGCGAGTACGAAATAAACAGAAAAGATACTCACATATTAGAGATAACTCGCAATGGGCAATGGGTAAAGCCTTTTGCTGGGGAGTGACGGTAGATAATATGCCGCCGGACGATGCTGCTGAGAGGTCATCTGCTTCCCAGTCATCTTCCGTCCTAGGCCTGATTGCAGAGGTATTTCCGACCAGTCTAAAGCGCCCGGTATTTGCAAAAACATGAAAAACATCCAAACACTGCCTCTCTACATTTAGCATACTCAAGCAGACCAAAGCATGATAACGAGAAGAGAGACTTACGTAGAGAGCCCACCACATCCTTCGGTATAGCTTCAAGACTTGGCGAGGTTTATTTTCTCGAACACACCTATACAAGAGTCTCTTGTTAATTCTTATTACGTCTAATCCATAGAACAGGTGGCATAGTCTGGGAGAGAGGCACGTACGTGTTGCGTAGGTCAAGCTTGGTGGCAAGATTGATGGCGTTGTGGAACCAGTAGCCAAAGTCCCGGCTCGTGGGGTGGTCAAGAATCACCGTGCATAAGATGATGGACCCCTGTAACATCACCAACGGGTCATCGTCAGCGACAAGGTCATGGAGCAGGTTAGCCTTGGCAAAGAACGATTCTTGCGCAGCTGAGCGGCTGGAAAAGCCACAGGCGGAGAGCACATCTACCGGCACGTGGAGGCTTGCTGTTGTCAGCATAACACGGAGCAGGAACAAAGAGCAATCCCCGGACTCATAGCCGCGAATAAACTCGGCTCTGTTTATTACAGGAAGAAAAGGGTGGACGTAGTCAAAGTATGCCTTCATGAGGGCATCTCTATTGATTTTTATCCTGTGAGTAAGACGAAGACAGAGATATAAAAATGGGCGATTCCAAGATTGTCTTACAAGTGATGTCGGGGAGGTAGATCAAAGACCCCTTTTTTGGCAAGGTATTCATTGTCAATGTCATCTAATTGGGGTAACTTGGCCCAACAACAGTTGCGAGGAGTAAGACTGGGTTCGAGCTCTGAGCGGTACGGAGTGTCGGATGCGGGATGAAGTGGGCTTGATGTCGCAGATGCTTTTACGGCGTCGTTTAGAATGTTGATGTAGAGCAGATCTGGCTCAGTCTGATGCGGGCTTTCACAGTCGAGGGAATCGGCATTGGAGGGGTGTTGTGATTGATTAGATTGATAGAGCTCATCTGAAGGATTACTGTTGGAGGCAGCCGGGATGCCTGTAGTCTATTAATAGGTATTAGAGATTCTGTAGCGTCGCTCAAGCAGTAGACGGAAAGGTAGAGCGCAGAGGAACGTCTCGTGGCATTAGAGTGGGAGCCTGTAAATCGAGTATTACCTTCCTAACAAGCCCATCTCATGTTAGCACGCTCTTGATAAACCGGTAGCCATCGGATCAATTTACAACTAACTTGGTCCGGGTCTTGCGGGTCGGCAGTACACAGTCATCGATACACTGCCTGGCGGAACAGCTACCACAGGGGAGGCCGACCATGGCCGCATCGCACTTGATCTTGCGTGCTCGGCAGGGCGCGCAGGTCCTGTTGATTTTGAGCGCGCGCTTTCGGAGCTTCCCCGTCCTTTGCGGCTCACTGTTGGCGGCGGAAATATCCATTGATCCGATTGATGTATATCGCATTGAGCTGGTCGACCAGGGCTTACGTGTCGACGAGACGGAGTTTTCTATTTATGTTTTGAGGCTTCGGCGATAAGTTCAAGTTGCGCGCCAGCTCGGTATTTGTATATTGCCGAGCCTAAACCCGCCTTGGATTGCTCCGAGAGAAGATGCCGGAAGCCTAGACCATCAAGATATACGATTTTTGTGCTGATTCACCCCGACATACAACTTCAATGACCTGTGTCGCTGCTGCGAATATGCAAATGGGCTGCTAGAATAGGGGCGTGTGGAGGGCATTTGTGTGATGTCCAAGATGGTGAAGGAGGCGAGAGATAGCCCCTTGCAGTGGGCTCGATTTTCTCATTGTGGGTGTGAAATGCATATTGATGAGAATCGAGAAATGGATAGATGTGTTTGACACTTTGAACTTCTTATTGTCTGGATGAACAGTTCTAAATTGTCCGGGGACGTTACCCTTAAAAGCAAACAGTCAAATCAATTCAAATTGTTTAGCGCATTTGGCAGTGGCGAGAGGCTTCATTTCCGGTGAAAATATGCGGGCATAATTATTTATCTGGTTTATAAAGGCTAGAAGATCGTTAACTTTAAGCTACGGCGCTGCCAATGAAGCAAGTAGATAGGACAACGTACTTATCTAACAACATGGCCAAATGTAACGAAGAAAGAATTGTTGTATCATCAACACCATCGGAGCAAATTAGAGTCCAAAAGCGAGGGGGAAGTAGAACGTAGGAAGAGTGGTTGAGTTGTGTCATATTGGAGTATCTAGAGTAACGGTGAGCGTTAACCGGGGTGATTTCGGATAGAGTTGGCATAAGAAGATATGCTAATCATAGGATGCTGAAACCTATCAAAGTCGAGGACGTGTCAGTAGTGATCCATTCTAAGGCAGAATTAACCAGCCAAAAGCTGACAACAGATACAAGCCTTCAATACATCGCCGTGGAAATCACGGACCGATGCACAATCGCGTAGATCGTGCCTATGTTGAGTTACCCAGCAAGGCAGAAACCAGAAGCCATAGGCAGCTCCGTGAATTACCAGCCACCTCTTAAGTCTCCGACCAATAAGTGAGATCAGAGTTGCATCCTGTGGAGTGGCAAAGTGTATAAATGCTGACAGCGTACAAGGCCGCCCTGGCCAAAGTGGACCTCTTTGCTGCCTGATGGTCCGCCCATTGTGTATTATTTATTCGGAATGATTTCTTTCTTTGATCTCAATTCAATTCAAGCTTAAATACACTTTATCTATTAGTCCTGTCTTATGGTTGTATAAGGGGTTTTTATTCAAGATGGCAACTATTGATTCCACCGACCTGGTACTAGAGACCAGCGCTCGTGATTGCGGTCTAGACAGCAGCGACACAGACTTGAACGGATTGCCTGACCATCCCCAATCACCTATCGGGCTTATTGAAATTTCTAGCACTGATGATGATGACTCACAGCCTGAGGATGCGCTGGCAACCCCACCGGAGTCTGACGATGCGCCATCACCCAACCTTGCCGTCTCACAACCAGAAGATCTAGAATGGCCCACAGAAAGAGAAAGACCAGGCAATCAGGAGGCAGAACCGGCAAAAAAGGAAGAGAAAGAACCGGGGCTGAATAATACTGATGAGCAAGAGAATAAGGATCACGTTGTTGGAGACGGCGACAACAATGAGAATGAAAATAGAGACGGGAAAGAGGAGGACAAAGAGGGGGCGGATGAAAATGAAGGCATTCGCGATGGCGACGGAGATAAGGAGCAGGACATCAATGAGGAGGAGCAAGAAAAGGTGCAACCTGATGGCGGTGAAGAAGAGAGCAATGGAGGCGAAGAGGAGAGTAAGGGAAGTGAAGAGGAGAGCAAGGGAAGTGAAGAGGAGAGCAGAGAAAATGGAGAAGACAGCAAGGAAAACAACTCCAACGAAGAGGTTCCAGAAGACACTGCGGCAAAGGAACTGGAATCTTGGGCTCGAATCCTTGTCGAGGATGAAGATCCCGAATCCATGATGGATGACTCGCCATCTCGACTTGAATGGCTGCGCTTAAAACGAGAAGACAATGAGGAAAATGTTCATCTCGATAAAATCATGTCGATGGTCGGCCATGAAAAGATCAAGGCACATTTTCTCGCCATGAAGCTGCGCATGGACATGGCTAAGCGCTGGAAGGTGGACGTCGAGGAGCCAAAAGCGGACTTGATCCTTTATGGCAACGATGGGACCGGTTAGTAGGAGATTCTCCCCTTATTTGACCCGACGAGACAATAACTTACTGACCTATGATTGCTAGGAAAAAGAAGGATTGCTCAGATATACGCCGAGTTTCTTTACAGCATAGGTGCTATTGCGCATCGCACTTTTGAAAGAAACTCGGGATACTCTTTAGAAGATAATGGAAGCAATGCAACGGTATGCCTTTTTTATTTATCTGCATATTGATTAAGATTATCTATGCCTCTTTTTTTGAGTAAATGGCTAATTTGATGGTTCCATTATTGTTTACCTAGGTCACATTCTTCGACCAGGCAGACAAGATAGATCGAACAACCGAAGTCCCCGCCATCCTCGACATAGTGGAAAAGAGAAGTAATCCAGCCGTACTGGTATTTTCCTTCACAAACTTGTCAGAGGACTCCAGGAATGCACTTTACAGCACCTCCAGGTGCCGTAGCCGTCTTCCTGACCCTATTGTCCTCGAGAACTACAACGAGACCGAGATATTTCAGCTTCTCAAACGAATGGCCAAGAAACGGCCCGATTTCGAACATGTCCAGGAGGAGGAAAGAGATGCGATCCTTCGCTTCTTGGCTCGAAGAGCCCGACAAGGTAGCGAGGGCTCCATGTCGAAAAAGTTTTCCAACATCTATTCTCTGAAACAAGAACTTGACAAAATGACTGTTCGATGGAAACGACGCACGTTGCGAGAGTTGGCAGAGTGGTCCAAGACCTACGCATCTACCCAAGGGGGTGAAGTGGACGAAAAGAAGATTGAGGAGCAGAGGATGAAGCTGGGCGGTGTCAAATTGGATGATGCAATCGGGCCCAACCCGCCGGATGTGAGGAATGAGAGCAAGGCTTGGAAGACGATTCAAGGCATGGTTGGCTTGAAGTCTGTGAAGAAGGAGATTGAGCATCTCTTTAACCTGGCCCAATTCAATCATAAACGTGAGCGCCAGGGGAAGCCTGGACTCCCTATTCCTCTCAACCGTTGTTTTCTGGGAGAGCCTGGAGTGGGAAAGACGACAGTGGCGAGACTCTTCGCCAGCATTGTCAAAGAGCTGGGTCTAGTATCCAAAGGACAGGTGATTGTGAAGACGCCCAACGACCTTATCGGCGAGTATATCGGCGAGTCCGAGAAGCACACCAGGGATGCGCTAGAAAAGGCCCAGGGAAATGTTCTCATCATCGATGATGCACACATGCTGTACAAGAGCAGTGGACATGGAACCAATAATTCAGATCAATATCGCGTTGGCATTATTGATACACTGGTGGCCAACATCACCCCTGGGGAGGACAGATGTGTCATTCTCTGCGGATATCCTCAACAGATGGAAGAGATGATTCTCAATAGCAATCCTGGACTGCAAAGACGCTTCCCCATGGAGAATGCGCTTCGGTTTCACAACTACAACGACGACGAGCTCTGCCAGATTCTTGATCTAAAACTGGCCCAGGATCAAGTGGTAGCCTCCGATCATGCGCTCAAGGTAGCCCGTCAAGTGTTGAGCCGGAACCGAACGAGACCGCGTTTTGGTAACGGAGGTGACGTAGAAAACTTGGCCTGCCGTGCGAGGCTTCGACAAGTTGAACGGCTACGTGCATTGAACGAAAATTATATGTTCGAAATGCAGGAAGATCCACTGGGACCAGAAGACTTCGATCCTGATTTTGACAGGTCCTCGCGTGCGGATCAGAATCGTGATGATGTATTCCGAGGCATGGTAGGGTTCGAAGAGATTGTGAAGCAATTCCGAGGGTACCAGAAGATGGCCGATGGAATGCAGCTTTTTGCCGTCGATCCGAGACCACACATCCCATGGGCTTTTGTTTTCAAAGGGCCCCCAGGAACTGGCAAAACGTACGTATATGTCTCTCCCCTTCATCTATGGCTAGCGAACCTTCCGCTTTCGTGGGTTTTGTTGCTGACTTTCTTTTAGGACGACAGCCAGGAAGGTAGGCAAGCTCTTCTATGACATGGGATTCCTCTCGTCTGATGAAGTCATTGTCTGCTCCGTTTCCGACCTCATTGGGGAGTATCTAGGTCAGACCGGGCCAAAAGTGCTGGCTCAATTTGAGCAGGGGCTCGGCAAGGTCCTATTCATCGACGAAGCCTACCGTCTCCAAGGATGCAGCTCGTTTAACAATGAGGCAATCGGAGAGCTTGTCGACATAATGACAAAGCCACGCTATGTAGGAAATATGGTTGTCATCCTGGCTGGATACGGAGATGACATGGAGAAGCTTCTGGCATCTAACCAGGGGCTTCGGAGCCGATTCCCTACGCAAGTTGTTTTCCCACATATGACGCCTGGCCACTGCTTGCAACACCTCATACACACCCTTTCTAAACTGAAGATCACGTTTTCTGAAGAAAATCTTGAAGACAGTACAAGCGCCAAGGGAGATGTCGTCGCTGAAGCGTTCAGGCAACTGATTCGCACCAACGGATGGGCAAACGGCCGGGATGTGGAAACTATTGCCAAGAATATTATTGGATTTGTCTTTATGAAGGCAGCTGAGGAGAAGACATCCGGGAAACCAAGCATTAGTGTTTCGTTTCCAGATCTGGTACAATTCTTGCTACAGATGTTGCGAGAGCGCAATAACATCAAGGGGGTAGGCAGTTTTGACCCACCAGCACTGAAGGATTTGGCTCGGAGGGCTGGTTTGATCCATCATTGATTGTAAATAGTGCCCGGGATTCATATTGTACTTAGCAACGCTACCGTCGTGGTTCTTGTCACACTAAGCTTTGGTTCGAGAGACATCAGTCAATATTTATTGCTTTTTGTTGAGGTATGTTTACTCTAATTTGCTTGGCATATTTTCGAGCGAAAAGGTACAACTACGAAATACCACGCCATATGAGCCAACATATTCCATTTGAAAGTCAATATCGCAGAACTAGATAGGTAATTACTAAGTGGAATCTAGTGTCGTCTAGGACCAAACAACTTGCTTCATGTGATTCTCACCACAGACACTGGCAACATCTCAAAACAGTCCACTCTGATCCAGTCGAGCGTTCTAATAAGCTCTTTACCAGCTTGCTCCATTCGACCATGCAGCTCTTCGCTTCCGACCGTCTCTCCGCCCCGCCAATGAAAGCACCCTCGACTCCTACTCCACACAAGCGCCATGTTACTTTGCGGGCTCGCAAGCTGCCATCTTCCGCCTAATCTTTGGACACCGTCCCCGTTCCCAGAGCCCGGCTGGATTCCAACGATGACGTAAAGGGTCTCCATTAGAAACAAGCTTAACAGCTCAGCCAGAGTGTCGCTGTCTTGGTAAAACACCTCTTCGGGCACCGCTATACGGGCCATGCTCGGCTCGGAGCAGCAAACGTGCTCGAACATGCTCGGGACAGAGGAGGAAAGCTGGTTGATTTCACCAGCTGGGACGTAGACCGTATCGCGGTTCATGTCGTACGGGCGTAAGAACGCATGGGTTTGTCGATCCTGGCAGAAAGCCATCAGAATTCCCTGCTCTCGAACCCAGGCAGCGGCGATGCGATTTGCCTCATGATTGACGAAGAACAGAGGGAGCTCGAGGTAGACGTCGGCGAGGCTGCTCTGATGGAAGATCAAGTCCAATGTGTCGTTTTCTGAGCGGTCTGGTCCTATCCTGTCGGAGCCAATATGGGGATTAGAGATGCTGCGACGTCTGGTGTATGAGTACAATGTTGTTGCATTGTCGGGAAGCGCTTGCTGCCATATTGCATGGCGAAGTTCTGGTGGGAGACGTGGAAAAAGAACGAAAGACGATAAATTTGATGTCATTATTATCAAGATGAAATCATTTGAGCATGTTGAAATAATCTATGAGAAAGTCTTGACAACTTTCTCTTGTACGTGGCATTTTTAACAGACTAGGAACACCGCCATTTATTTTGGGACGACTTACGTGGAAGACGTGGCTTGGCGATACATGTTATTTGTAACTATGACGACCTACATTCATGCAATGAAATGGCCACAGGGGATTGGTTCCAACTTTGGCTTTTATGAGATACCTGAAACCAGGCTTGGGAATGTGCCCTGCCCTTCCACTGAGTTGTCTATTATTTCGTCGTGTCGGTGTAGATATCATCCGGCCACCCAGAACCCAAACGAATGGCCCGACGATCCTCAATCAAGCAATGCTAGCCACCTTTCTGGTTCCTAAGATACCATTGCGATGCTAGACCACCTGGCCCCTCCTCCATTAATAAATTGCATGTCCATCACATCGGCGACGGCAGATGATAAGTCATATCCTACCATGGATTGCTATTCGTGCCGGCATAATCATGGGGTTACTCGGTCAATACTTCTGTCAGCTTCTTTCGACCTTTGGTTCTAGCCACGTGTCATAGTAGGTTTGATGTAACCTCTACGCGGTCAGGGCGTGGCGAAAGCATTGCATCACCTACACAACGAAGAGCAGATAGTTTGGTCTCCTACCCGATGGCTGTGCCTACATGTATCACACCGCATCGTGGCTATGTATTTGAGTATACTGCTAGTGACGGTGAGAAAATACGATTTGGTTGGAAATTACCGCCTGTGTCCTGAGCTCAATAATCTCATAGTACGAGCAGGTCTTCGTCACATTATAGCTCTGTCTCGATGAGGATGGTAGTGCATCGCGCTCTGGAGCTGATGTGAGTGATATGCAGAATGTCACTATGACGGTTGGGCTTCACTGAGGAAAAAGCCACTCAACTGTTCAGCCATCATCCATGTAATCATACCGTTAACGATCAGATTGGCGGCCAAATATTGGAGAAACTGACGTCAAGCACATGAACATATCCTTATCTTTATATTAAACCCCGCTCCCACTTATGCCAGATGCGCAACGCTTTTCATCACTTTGGCGGTGCTGGAGATTGAAAATCGTCTAGATCCCCTGGCATCTTATTTAGAGCGACGCGGTGCAATCCAAAGTCTGGGATGGTAAATAATGTCCGCGGATTTGAATTAATCAGATTTCCGGCCATCTGCCCTTCCTTGAAGGGGGATCGCAGCTGTTAAAAAGGAGAAGCGAAGAGTGGCCATGCCTTGAAGTTTCCAGAAGGCCATCAAGTATCACCTGGGGTTTAAAACCCAGGGTAATAATAGATCCAATCAGTGGAATTCCTCATCGAGCGCTTTAGGAACAGATATTAAAAAGATGCTGCTGAAGCGGTGATTGATTATGAGCAGCGAGACACCTGTAGGAAATAGCGAAAAGTGGAGGTAGGCTTTGTTCTTCAGTCTAAGCCTCATTCATGTCATGTCATTTGTTTGCTCATTTCCAATAGCTAAGGCTCTTATCTGCTCCCTGTTCCCTATTTCCCATCACTTCTTAGCTAGGTAGGTATCGGGTCACACAGTCTTTATATCACACTATTCCTTTCCTCTCTTAGGAAAACCTTTTTAATGGGACTAAAGACCAAAGGCGTCCCCCCCTTAATACCTCATTTAGTCACCCCCCTTCAGTCTTCCATAACGCTTGACATAACGCCACCGGAACAAAGCTCATTCATAGACTAGCAACGTATAGAATCCTGCGATGAATGATTTACCAAGAGCCTAAAAATGACTTACAGGCAAACATTGTTCATAAGCTTAGCCCCAGTGAAGGGAAACGGTTTTCGGGGCCTTGTAACGCATTATTAGATCCCGCTAACATCTTCTGGTTGTCAAGTGTTAGATTGCATGCATACATATTGTGATTGAATAGCTCCCTTTTCATGAGACTGCACCTTGTGTTCCAATTGATTCCCATGTTTCTATTCTCCCGCCCATGGCACGGTGTCGACGCCGACGCGTGCACAAATGGTCGGGCCACGCACTACGCAAAAAGGAACAAAAGAAAGATCTACGAGATGTATATGAAGACCTAAATGTTCGAGTTCCGGACACAAAGAGTACTATCAAGTGACTTGGCAGCCTGTTGCAAACGGAAATCTAATTATATCATACCACCCCTTAAGCCAAAGGGAGAGGTGACAAATCGAACCAAGCTACGTGAAAGAGACGCAGGTTTTGTCCACGACCATGTTCAGTGAACAATGGCCCCCTTTAGTGAAAAGAGCGGATTTTTGTACCGCGTTGATATGTTGATTCTTCGCCGAAAATAGCAACAATATGTAAATATTTAAGAAGTTGCCTCCACTGGTTTGGGTAAACCATTTGTCCTCCAAAGGCCCCTTTTCACTGTCCTCCAAAAGTCTCTTTTCACTGTCCTCCAAAAGTCTCTTTTCACTTTCCTCCAAAAGCCTCTTTTAACTCTGAACCTTGGGATCAAGAGGAAGTGTCCTACAGTCTAGGGCAAAGGTTTAGAGTATTTAGCCGCCCTGAAGCCTCTGGAAGAAGCACATACCGCGTTGGTTTAATATCGTCTTTCAGGGCATTCATTTTTGTCCTGAAGAGAGAAAGATCCAATGGCCAGCCAAAGGGGAGATTTCACCCTGTTTGAACAACTTCCGGTTGAGATCCAATTAATGATATGGTCAGCTGCATTGGAGAATGTCTGGGTTGGCGTTTGTCCAGGGAAGACCCGGTTTCGATGGAATCCGGCATTGGCTTTGACAATGGTTTGCAGAAAAACACGAGAGCACGTCAAAAAAACCCATCAGTATCGGTTGGTACGGTGCGGTAGATTCTTCCGCCCCAAGAGGCTCTATGATGTCGTCCCTACAAATCCGGACACCGATACCTTCGTCATACCAATGCATGGTGGTAAATCTGCCCCCTTTCCGCGAAATGTTCCCCATCCCCAAGGCGTAAAACATGGGGCTACTCCTCCCGAAAAGATTCAACACATGAGAAAACTGATTCTCTTTGACCCGGAAATGGAACCCATACGGGCAGTGTTTACGAAGGGTGTACCAATCGACCGATTACTGTCAGAGCTCAATGTTCCACCACAAACGGCCTGGGCGCCGGCTCAGTCTGAACAGGATGAGCTCATTCCCATCGATGCGGATTGGCCCGAAAGATTCTCCAAGCTTAATGATCTAACTTACGTCACAAGAAAGACACATTACAGCTGGTGGATAGGTGGCGAATACCACGTTCATGGGCCTGATGTTGTGAGTAGGCCAGCCGAAAACTGTCTATGGCATGGGAAGCCTGAAGACAACATAAAGGCGGGCTGAATCGAAGAGTATTTGGAGGGTAATCCAATTGACCAGGGGCTCGAATATTATGAGAAGATGGGTATTTGCGATGATACAGGAACAACATGGGCATTTGACGAAACGAATTCTTTCCGACTAAATATTTGGCACTTCGCGTTGAACCGCCGCAAGGGCGCTGACCCGAATTTTAAAACGCCAGGTTACTTAGCGCCTTGGTATTACAAGAGTATCAAGATGAAGTATTCTCGCAATACTTCGGCGGTGGTGCCAAAGATTGGCCTTCGTGGATATTCGTACAATACCAGTTCTTGTGGTGGGTTTTGGGCAGGATACAGGCTTTATCTCGGAAAACACCCTCGACTCGAATTCTCACCTCTGGTCTGGGATGATGTCAAAGAGTATTTGGATGCATTTCAGACACATGAAGACAATAGGGAGGATTGCAGTATACCTACGGTAAAAGGTACCGAAAAGCATTACAGAGTGAAGGGTGTCGAGCCCAGCTCTCCGGAAATGATCGTCAAAATAAGTATCATCAGACCTGGGGAAGAGGCGCCCCCTTCACACCCACATCATTGCTGGGAACCAGTGGCAGGTGACTTCAGCAATTGTGGTAATCTTCAAGGCGTTGATTGGCGTCTGACAGTCCCTATTAGTCCCCCACCCGCTAAGGAGGAATTCAAGAAGTTCATGGCACCCGGATTCAACAGACTTGTTTCCGACAAAGACAAGCTACTGCTGTGCGAGCGAGAGGAGAAACTACTGAAAAACCTCAACAGGTTTAGAATTTGACGGATATTCAATCTTGTCATGACAGAGATGATCGATTCAAATCACCCCGGCGACTTCCCAGTCCCACGTCACTTCCACGAGAGCCAGGCACCCTCAGAAAGTACGATTTGATGGAAAGGTGCTATTTAGAATGCTGAATTTGGATTAGATTGGGAATTATAGTTGCACTGTTAAGGAGAAATTCCAAAAAGTTCTTTTCATACGTAAGCCTAGCCAGGCTCTGCCTCGTTGATACAGCTACTACTATGCAACAATAGTTGGACAAGCTAGTATAGAAGCAGGTAATGTAGGCAACCATTGAACCAGAAAGTATTCATTCGTACTGGAGAGGCATCTCCTCATAGTTAACATCCACCTTGCGCAGCTCGAACAGCACGTGATCAATGAACCAGATACTCAGATCCACCTTTTCATCAAAGGTTTGCTCTCCAAGATGTAAGTCGCTTACAGTTAGACATGCACGGACGACTTCGCTGAAGCGGTGTCCGAGATCATCAAGTTCACTATCTACAAGGCCAAGCAGACCCTCCGTCGATAACTCGGATGGTCTGAGAAGTGAATCGTTCGCGGGGTCAACGGTCCACAGTACTCCGCGCTGAGGGCTTTCATCCTGCTTCTTGAGAAAGGAGTTGGTGGAGCCAAGCTCAAGGAGGCAAATACCAAGATTTCGGATGTCCTTCTTCATAGTCCTCTCACCACGTCGATCCATATGGTAGTATCCGTTGAAATTGCAAGTTCCGTCTGATGTATTCCATCCCCAGTCAGCAGACGGGTCGCAGAGAAATCCGTGGAGGAGGGGCTTGGTGGCTGAGGCGACTAGGACACAATCGGGCATGATGCTTCCATGCTGTACGTTGCAAACATGCAGGCCATGGACAGCCTCGGCAAGGCCGTAAGCAAACTCTGCATTCTCCACAGGTATGACAAGTTGTTGCTTCCACAGCGCCGTTCGAAGGGTGTCGCAGTTCTTCACTTTCATCTCTGTCTCGAAGACCAGGGGCGTAGGCGTTTGATGGCCGACTGGTAGGACATCGATGGCATTCATTAGAGACGACGAAAGGGCCGCGGCGTTTCTGAGCCGGTTGAAAAGGCCGCTTCCCTCAGGAAATCTGTTCGACAAAGGCGGATCCTCGTGATTCACAACCAATCCGTGTCCGTCGATAATGATATCCGTTCCTCGGTGTTGGCTATACAGTTGGAGAGTTGAGTTGCGAATGGCGTTATAGCCATCGAGAGGTCGAGCATGGGTCGTGGGCTGGTCATTCGAGGTGTGGTCGGGTAGGCACCGGATCAACGAGGTAGGGTCATCAACATAGATAGCAAACAGAAACCAATAACGATCGAACTTGTAGGTCCAGTCTTTCAGGATATCCCGAAGTTCCTTAGCCGTCGTCTTCTTGTCTGATCGGCCAAGTGTCGAATAAAGCTCGGTGACTAAACAAACCAGCCGATTGTAATGCGTCCACGTTGGGCGAATGTCGGTGTCAACAATGAAGGAGAACTGATTTATGAGCTTGAGTGTGTAACTCGCAATCTCTTCAACAGTTCCATGGACGGTGACATTTGGGGTAAGTTCGTAGTGGTCACGAACATCGTTGACCGCGCTCCCCGTAGAAATGATGTCAGCAAGGTCACAGCTCAAAACAATCTGAAATCAGCCGATAAATATTTACATACTCTCTGCATAAGCTCACGTAGTATTTCAGATTGTCCAGGGCGCGCTGGGAAGCCTTGAGATCCATTTTGCAACGGCGGGGTTGGATACCTAGGGTACCGCTAGAGTGTATACGCTGAGAGGAATGTATTGAGACTCTGAAGAATGAAGAAAATTTAGGTTTCAAGGAAGGGCACCACAGCCGTAAAGAAAGAAGAAGGGGGATGCGGTGGACTGGCGCCTTGGATTGGAAGATGAGCTTTTCTTCGTTTCTTGGTTGTCCGAGACGACCCCTCTTATACCCGACTCGCAGGCATGCTCATGCAGCCTTCGTTCCTCTTTGGTCGCAAGAGATGCTGAAGCAAAAGGTGACCTAGTCCGGACTTTCTTTCCGTTCCAGGAAATCTTTCCGAGAATGACGACAAAGGGCAATCATTCGTAGCTGCAAGGTGATGTGGCTGCAATCACATTCAATATCATGAAAGGGGGAGGCTTGACCCACCGTCCACAGCAGAATAAGGGGCCTAGACAAGTTTCCCGGCCGGTGTATGACAGAAGGTGCCCTTGTATCTTCTCATTTATGGTACACTAAGGCGGAGTTTGTGCTACCCTGGGTAGGAAGTGGCACGGCTGAACGTGATGTACTTCTCTATCGCGTTTAGTTACCAATATGGCATGCAGTGCCGGCAGAAATCTGTTTCATGTCTCCTTGAACACCGCTAATCTTTGACGCAACGCCGCCAGAAACGCAAGAATCATGAAATCATTACGCTAGAAAGAATACAGGATACAGTCGGCCATCGTTCAAGGCAAGCCACAAAACATTCTGCCGCTTATCTTAGATAGATAGATGCCTGAAAGGACAGGATCTGAGGAATGGGGCTTTGCTAGCCTGTGACACTATATCAATGCAGAAGCCACCTAGTCCACCTCGTGACCACCTCCTCGAAGTATATGGGAGTTCTAGCCTGGCCTTTTTGGCCACAGCTTTGGCGGGAACGCATGAGCGTAAACTTACCAACCAACCGTTTTTCACCACGTAGGTCGCAGGCCCTCATGTCGGAACATCTAAGGGTAATGGCATCTGTGTCCCCGGCGGGCTGACTGCAGATCATGACCCCTTGAAACCAGCCACACGGTTACCTTCACCGGATGATCCGTAGCCTAGCCGCGCTTGGAAGACACAACAAGATCCCTATCCGTTGAATGGGCCCTCTCAATTACACAGGTTTGAAGCTAGATTGGGATTATCAATGATGCCTGAGGCAAATGAACGCTGTCATCCCTTGTGTTCCACCATTTAGTCTGGGAGCTACAGTTCCGAGCAAACACACGGGTGCAATTACCGACGTGCATGAGTGGCTGATGTAGTCTCGGAAAGGTGAACATGCTGTGTAGGATGAAGGCTTGCACTGCCCCCGGGCCTGTCTTAGCCATATCACATCACATGCGTGCCTCTTCCCCATAGGACGGCCACAAGCAGAACTACAGCCGGGCCAGCGACATGCCAACATCCAAATGAAGTAGGACGACAAGTGTGGAACATTTTGGTCGGAGAAAGGTGACAGATGGCTGTGCTGGCCTTGTGAAACCAATCTGCTTCCCTGACCTGCTCTTCTTAGCAAGTACAGACAATCTCCTCTGACACGTAAGTTGGCTGCCTGTCCTGTCCCCACGACATCAGAGCCCATCCTGTGCAACCAAAACAGCCCGCAAAAAACAGCCTGCTGCAAGGTGAACATCGTTGAGGGAGAGCTGAGGAGCGTCTTTGGCCATCTTGGTTTGTCTTGCTTAGCACGAGCGGAATTCAACCAGGAAGCACCATCTAGTGCCCTACAACAGGCTTCTGAATGGAAATCAAACGTCTAGCAAGGGGGCTTTCTAACCGTCATCCCATACCGTAGGATAGACATATGCCATTGCTCAACTCACCTCTTCACAACTGCGTTTCTCCACAGCCTCTACGAGCTCGTATTCGTATGACTTGTGTGGCCATCACAACGAACCACGAGAGTGATATCTGAAATTGCGAGTCTTGACGTAAGCGGCGTAAGCCACAGTGAGAGTGACATGACCACCAGGCCGAGACATGAGCCCGACGTTGTGATTATCGTGCTCGCTGCTTTGCCGTGGCGAGCTGCATGGTTGGACTGCAGTAGTCACGTCTCAGGATCTGCAAGGAGGCGGTAGGTGGGGAGCGGCCGGAACGGTCCTAGATCTCCAGAGGGTAGGAGGCCCGTCCCGACGCTGTCACACACCGGCAGTCACATAACCCAGGCGATGATTTGCTACTAGGCCCCAGTGGTGTAGTGGTTAATGTGAGCAGGCCTTGAGAGAGACTACATAGTCTAATCCTTGCAAACTTCGCTAATCTGGGAGCATAAGCCCGCTCAACCAAGGTCCCTGGTTCGAACCCAGGCTGAGCAACCCTCGTCAAAGAGGTTGGCCCTTTCCTCAGCGATGGCTATTGTATCTCGTGGATCTAGGCCTAGCTTAGTTGTGGATCTTGTAAGTAATATATGCCGGGTTTGAATGTGTAATTCTCTTAGTTTTCATGATGTTGAAGGTTTGGGTATGGGCCGCAAATTATGTTTAAAACTTGTGTGACTGAAGTCACGTGTGTAGCCTGATCTTGGGATAACCCTTGTTTACGGCAGAAGAAACAATCAATATGCCGGGTTTTTTAATATGTGTATCGCCTGGGTCCTGTAAGGCGTTTTTGCTCAAGGATTCTTACTTTCTAGCAAATTAGGTTTTAGTCCCGGCCCGCTAGGTTTCGAGATGTGGATGAGGGTTTATTGCTAGTAGAGCGCTTGGGCCTACGGTGCGGTAGCAAGAGTGCACTTTGCTGACTCACGTTCGCTGCCGTACGCTTGCGAGCCGTGCCAGTAACACCTGAACTCCTAAGAATAGCCAATTATCAGAAAGACATCCACCTCCTTGAATCTTGGGTGGCCTACAACAGCCGCGAACGCATCCAAGCAGAGTGCTTTGATATGAATGAAGGTGGTTTCTTAGAGATGAGAGTCATCGACGCAGCCGTGAAGTTATAGATGGATCGCACTGGTCCTTTGAATAGAGTAACTTTGAGTGGGAGGTCTGCATACTTGATAAGTAGCTCCGCTGAGAATAATGGGGAATTCGTGCTGACTTGCGATAACTTAATGTCCGTAAATATGCGGTGATACAATCTTTGCTTCGTTTGCATATAAGATTGAGCACTCTTCGTTCAGTCGGCATTATCATGAGCAATTTTTACAAGAAACTATTGTTCCTCTGGTCGGTATTAAGCTACTAATGATGATAAAGCTAACGGTATCCCAGCCCGAGTAAATGAGAACCGGGATGGATGTCACTTCCCTACAGAGGGTAGCCACCAGTTAGCTTAGCAAACCGTAGACTTAGCTATGAAACGATCGCCTGCTAGGTCAAAGTAAAACTGCTTTTTTGAATGCCGCGTGAATGTTTTCTGCAGGTGAGGTCTGAGTTCCTGAGAAGTAGACCGAAATCGAGCTACCAACCGGTCGATGAGAGAGGTGTATGCTCCGCGGGCGTGAGAGACGGCAAATTCAGTACTCTCAAAGGATTGGATGCCACTATAGAAGAAATTATTGCTGATGAAATGGGCTATTTCAAAGATAAATCTGAGCACGAGGCCGCCGTACTGGGCGAGAAGAGATGCTGGTTGAATAATCCATCTATCTCCAATGCATGTTAGTATTGGCTGAGTAACGATGCGCGCCATATCTCTTATTAAGCTCTTTGAACATTGAAGTAACTCATTTAGGCCCTAAGGGCGTTAATCATCACCAGGAAATCATCTACATAAGTTCGTCGACAGCGTTCGCCATCACTTGTTAGTAACCTAATTCGCCTCTGTAGTATTTTCTCTTCCTGTAAATCCGTAAGACTAGTATTAATAGCAAGGGTAGGATCGTCAATGTTTGTCAGGGCGATCTCGTACTTGAAGCGCGCTCTACATCTCTTACAACAATACAATTCAATCTGGGGTTTGAAGGAATATAGGGCGATGTGTGCACGGGCATCTGAGTCCGTCTGTGACTACTATTGATCGTCATCAATTAACTAGCTACAGATTCATCGGAGAACAGGAATCGACCGAGAACATCCTTGGATTTCATTTCTCTGGGTTGATATTTTTTTTTTTACCTTGGGATACGCTGGCACTTAATACATTTCTAGATGACAAAAATTGGACATGAAATGAATCAATAATTCAAAGGAAACAGCTGATTTCATTCTGTTTTTGGCAATCATAATTGTCAAACCAAACTCCAAGTGACTAATTATTATAACCCAGCCTCAGTACTCGTGACTGAGCTTGAATTCAGCTGGACCGTACATTCCAATCTGCCTACCCAGAGGAGTCATGTCAAGCAGATGCATCGTCGGAAGAACCTTCTCTCCTCCCCTCGCCCAAGTCGAATAGGAATGGTAGATATTGCCGTGTTCGTCTTTGAAGAAGACACTGTATCCGGGCACGTCACCTTCATACCACGTCTTTCCCAAGCTTTCAATCTCGTCCTTTGAGCGGAAGTTGATCTCCATTGGGCCAACGGCTTCATTGTTTGAGGCGTGGAAGTCATAGTTGAAGGTGGTACCTCCGGAAGAATACCAAGGCCACTTCCAACCATTCTTCTCCTTGAATGGAGCCAATTTCTCAATCGGGGCACGCGAAACACACACAAGGTTCGTATTCTTAAGCCGAAGGTGATTGACATTTGGCAGGCTCTCGCCGACGTGGCAACAGCCTCTGCAGCCCTCATCTTCATCAGGGCCAAACATGAAGTGATAGACGATCAGCTGCGGGTGGCCTCCGAAGAGATCAGCAAGAGTCACCCTCTCTCCATCGAGCGATTCAAAAGTGTAGTTCTTATCCACCTCCACCATCGGGAGCTCCCGGCGCATGGCGTTGAGAGCATCGTTGGCGCGAGTGTGCTCCTTTTCTTTTTCAAGAAGGGACTTCCGGGCTTCGAGCCACTCATCCCGACTGACCACGCGGGGTTTTAGTTGAGATGTCATCATGGGCAAGGAAATAGTTGATTTTTCGGTTTGTGCAGAAATTAT